GTAAGACTGCTGTAGCATGTGGGTGTTATCTTTAAATGTAATACAATGCTGTTTCATAAAACGAACTAAAGTCTTGATATTAGTAACTAGCTGTGTGTCCCAAAAATATCAAACACTTCTGCATTATTATTTGCAAAATACATGGCGAAAAATGTCAACAATATGATGATCATTTGTTAAACAATTTTTTTTTTCGGGTGTCAAAAGTTATGAGACAAACCATCAGAGTTGGTCTGTCCAATTCATGTCGCTGTGCACATTTTGGTTTTGTTGCAATTGTTAGATTTTGTGTTAGTGAGCAATTCATCAGTCTCAGATGGAATCAAATGGCTGTAAATTCTTTATCATTGATATGAATGGCAGTAGCATAGTGTTGACTGAATGGCGAGAATTTGGAATAAAACTATACGAACCTATCTGCTATCAGTGTTGCCATGATGAGACGTTCACACACACATAGACGTTTTCCCAACTCAACTCGACAGTGGAAATTGAAAGGACAAACGAATGTACGCATGCATTATATCTAGAAATAAGTTTTAAATTCATTGGTTGTTGAAAGGGAAAAGTGAGCTGATTGGTTAGATAACCTTTTGGCTTCATGTCTATAAGTAACAATTAAAATGATTGGTTCTGTTTTATTAAGGTGAAGAGAGAAACGGCATTCCTAAAGAATTCCTCAACTAAGACTTTTTAACAAAGGCCGCATTCTTCACATTCTTAACATTCATGCATAATTAAATTACCCCGTTCTCATTGTGACGTCATGCATGTCTATTAGAATAACTCGAGGCTCATGAATATTCATAAGGCACCTTCCACGGAAGGTGCTGAAGGTCCAAAATATATACTACTGACATGAACGAAGCTAGTATTTGAGACATGGCTAACGTCTCCTTAAAAAGACTGAACTCGTGGTAACCTCAATAATATCTTTACTGATCTAGCTATGAACTACACGTAGTTCCAACCAGCACCACCTGTCATCATGACGTCGATATGTATTGCGGCATTCGTTATTCAGAGTGAAGAAAATAGGACCGGGGACTTCTCCTTCGGGGACGCTATTAGTGAGAGTTATTCAATCTAATGTGTGCTTAATTGACGGCGACTGACGGATACGATAACAATCGATTCAGAGCGGTTTTTATCCAATCGACGATTGACATTGAAAACTGTCCCTCAGTAAACTATACATGCTCTTGGTGTGTTCTGAAAGTCAAGGTTTATCATTATTTTCGAACACTCTTGAGATGGAGGATACATTTTAACACCGACCAGTCAACCTTCAGAATATCTGATCTGAAGTCAGATTAGGGCTTGTACACATGTGGTTTAACATATTCCCTCAGGCATACTGGAACTCCTGTCAAGACGCCATTAGCTTAGCTTGGACATAATTCAGATTCACCACCGAGAGTGAGTATGTTTTCACGCCATTTGAGCAATTTTCCTCCAGAATTTTGTGGAGTTTGTGTCCAAAACAAGGCATTTGACCCATGTGTGGAATCAAACCTGGCCCTTCATAAGGTATAACCTAATGCATTAGATAAGTTGGATAGTTCCATGGAACATATTGGAATACAAATTACGTATTTACAAATACAACAATGACATGTCAGTTCCAGTGGTTGTTAAGTACCGATTCGCTCTTCAATGAAGTGACAGAGTTTTCTTGATCAAAACATCAAGTTTATCCAACACCGATAGTGTAACATCAGGCGGCTGAACCGTGTCGGGTCCTTTATTGATGCGGACTGGTAAATGTATCATTTCAAAACTTAGATGGAAACAAGACAAGGGGGGCACTCTGATCTAAGGCGTTGAAAGCCATGATGACCTGGTTGTGTTTTCAAACCAATTTCATAACAGCCATGGACGAGTTAATAGTTTCATCAAAGTGGTAAACTCTTCATTACATTGGACTTCAATCTCCCATAGTTGTGACATACTTTGATACGATACACGCTCGTTCTCTCACACCCTTACTCGCCCATCCATAACTACTCACTCACTCACTCACAATCTTACTAAAAAACCCAAACAATACTTCACTCAGTTCGCCAGCACGTGCACATGCTTCCCTCACTTCACCGGTATAAAACACTTCCCTCACTTTACCGCTATAAAATACTTTAGTCACTTTACCAGTATAAAATACTTCATCAACGTTACCGGCATATAATACTTCCCTCACTGACCCGTGAAGATCCGGGGTAGAATAGGTCTTCAGCAACCCATGATTGCCATAAAAGGCGACTATGCTTGTCGTCAGAGGCGACTAACGGGATCGGGTGGTCAGGCTTGCTGACTTGGTTGATGCATGCCATCGATCCAAATTGCGTGGATAGATGCTCATGTTGTCATGTTGTAAGTGCTGGTGAACTGAGTGAAGTATGAGTGAAGTATGTGCTGGTGAACTGATTGAAGTATGTGCTGGTGAACTGAGTGAGGTATGAGTGAAGGATGTGTTGGTGAACTGGGTGAAGTATGTGCTGGTGAACTGAGTGAAGTATGTGCTGGTGAACTGAGTGAAGTATGTGCTGGTGAACTGAGTGAAGTATGTGTTGGTGAACTGAGTGAAGTATGTGCTGGTGAACTGAGTGAAGTATGTGCTGGTGAACTGAGTGGAGTATGTGCTGGTGAACTGAGTGAAGTATGTGCTGGTGAACTGAGTGAAGTATGTGCTGGTGAACTGAGTGAAGTATGTGCTGGTGAACTGGGTGAAGTATGTGCTGGTGAACTGAGTGAAGTATGTGCTTGTGAACTGAGTGAAGTATGTGCTGGTGAACTGAGTGAAGTATGTGCTGGTGAACTGAGTGAAGTATGTGCTGGTGAACTGAGTGAAGTATGTGCTGGTGAACTGAGTGAAGTATGTGCTGGTGAACTGAGTGAAGTATGTGCTGGTGAACTGAGTGAAGTATGTGCTGGTGTACTGAGTGAAGTATGTGCTGGTGAACTGAGTGAAGTATGTGCTGGTGAACTGAGTGAAGTATGTGCTGGTGAACTGAGTGAAGAATGTGCTGGTGTGTAAAAATATATATATATATTTATATATATATATATATATATATATATATATATATATATATATATATATACATACAAAAATGGGGTAAATGTTCACTCGGTGTACATGTAATATATAAAAAAATAATAAAGTCCACGTTAGTCCATCATCTTCTTTTTATCAGTTTCATACATAGTACTTTCGCTGTCTATGTGCTATGTATGAAACTGATATAAAGAAGATGATGGACTAACGTGGACTTTATTATTTTATTATATATATATATATATATATATATATATTGGATAATATTAAAAAATGCGATGATTCGCACAGCTGTCCATACTGTTGATTGTCTTTATGCAGAACACACCTAACTCATGGCGGGTCGCCGTGTTGTGAAAGTCACAGTCTGACAGTTTTGTTAACACTGATCTCATTAATACTCCACCTATATGACGGCGGCATGAGAATAATCGAGAGTGGGGCAGACAACCCATGGCAACCCATGCTTGCCGTAAAAGGCGAATATGCTTGTCGTAAGAGGCGACTATCGGGATCGGGTGGTCAGGCTCGCTGACTTGGTTGATGCATCTCATCGTATCCCAATTGCGTGGATCGATGCTCATGACATGAATCACTGGTTAGTCTGGTACAAACTCGATTATTTACAGACCGCCGTCATATAGCTGAAATATTGCGGCGTTAAACAAGTAACAACAACAATCTAAACTGAAATCCAACGACGTCCTTGTGAATGATACCCCCAACGTATTTGCCATCATAGATTATCCTATCAACATGAGTCGCAGATAGCTGCAAGACTGCTGATGCACTCACTCACTATTATCGACGAGGCTTATGTAGAGAATGACACGTTACAACGCCATCAGCTGAATATGGCCTGAACGGAGTTTGCATGTATAAACGTTCTAATGTCAATGTATATGCACTGATTTAAACTTGGAAATTGCTATTTAATATACAGAGGACGCATACAAGCGAGATTGACCATGCTATTACGTTTCTATATGCAGATAGCTTATACAAGCGACATTGACAATGGGAATTACTTTTGTAAATACAGATAGATGGCTGATACAAGCGACATTGACCATGCAAATTACTTTTGTAGATACAGATGGCGTACACAAGCGACATCGACTGTGGTTATTACTTTTCTATATACAGATAGCTTATACAAGTGACTTTCTCCAAAGAAAGTACATTTAATTATACAGATGGCTAAAACAAGTGCTTTGTCCAAAGGTATTACTTTTCTATATACAGATGGCTTATACAAGTGACTTTCTCCAAAGAAAGTACATTTAATTATACAGATGGCTAAAACAAGTGCCTTTGACCAAAGGTATTACTTTTCTATATACAGATGGCCAAAACAAGTGCCTTTGACCAAAAGTATTACTTTTCTATATACAGATGGCTTATACTAGTGACTTTCTCCAAAGAAAGTACATTTAATTATACAGATGACTAAAACAAGTGCCTTTGACCAAAGGTATTACTTTTCTATATACAGATGGCTTATACAAGTGACTTTCTCCAAAGAAAGTACATTTAAGTATACAGATGGCTAAAACAAGTTCCTTTGACCAAAGGTATTACTTTTCTATATACAGATAGCCAAAACAAGTGCCTTTGACCAAAAGTATTACTTCTCTATATACAGATGGCTTATACAAGTGACTTTCTCCAAAGAAAGTACATTTAAGTATACAGATGGCTAAAACAAGTTCCTTTGACCAAAGGTATTACTTTTCTATATACAGATTGGGTATACAAGCGACATTGACCAAAGGTATTACTTTTCTATATACAGATGGCTTATACAAGTGACTTTCTCCAAAGAAAGTACATTTAAGTATACAGATGGCTAAAACAAGTTCCTTTGACCAAAGGTATTACTTTTCTATATACAGATGGGGTATACAAGCGCCTTTGACCAAAGGTATTACTTTTCTATATACAGATGGGGTATACAAGCGACATTGACCATGGGTACGCCTGGGTGGCACTGATGGCCACCTTCAGCATCCAATTCATAATTGGAGTCATCTCGTACTCGACAGGGGTAATAAATATTGCCATAATGGAAGAAGTGGAAGACGATATTACGAAAACTTCATGGATTGGTTCAACTCTTTTCGGGACATACACTTTACTTGGTTAGTGTGTGTATTTGATCTGACAACGGACATCCATAAAGAGCAAAACGTTTGGGTTAAATACCATGTGATATAAGCATGTGCTACGCAGTGCCTTCATTTTGAATTGATAGCGTCGGGAGGAGGTTTCAAAAATAAGCCTTTCTTTCACTTGAAACTACGAAAAGGCAGACGTTTCCTCTTAGCTTGAAATGAATAGAAATCTGTAATTACGGAATTACGGAAAGTAAACGTAGTCATGATACTGTTCTTACAGTCGTACAACTATCGTTATCGCCAACATTAGTAACGTTAATTACTGAAAAATTGTTTTACGAACTTCAATGTCCCAAATAGTCGACCCTATTTAGAATGTAGAATAAATTTCATGTGCATTCCATCATATCATATTCACATAACACGTTCGTATGTTCAACCTTTTTCGTATATTCAGGTCCCATTGCTGGAGTCGTTCAACAGAAGGTTGGTGCCAGGATCACAGCTATGGCAGGGGGCCTTCTGATGCTTCTGGGAATGTCTATAGCCTCATTCTGCCAAACTGTCATTAGCCTCTTACTCACATATGGACTTATCGCAGGTACGAATGGTTTGACATGAATGATGGTATTTCAATCTACATGTACACTACTGCCTAGACGTTCATTCACTTTACACGCATGGGCACCCCGTTGGTCACTCGCGTGGAACCGGTCCGCCACGCGTGTGATACCCGTGTGCAACGCGTTGAACACCTGTGTGCAACCCATTCGTCACTCGTGTATAATGAACTATTTTGAGACAGTTAATACGATATTTGCTTGGCTTTGGGATAGAAGTGATATGCATGATTAAATGTAAAATTGTTCTGTTAAATGATAGATGTTAATAACCTAAGTTTCCCATCAAATCACAAACGTAGAAGATTATAAAATAAAAATAAAAAAGTCCACGTTAGTCCATCATCTTCTTTATATCAATTATATGATGGACTAACGTGGACTTTATTATTTTATTATAAATTACATGTACACCGAGTGAACATTTACCTCATTTTTGTATATATATATATATATATATATATATATATATATATATATATATATATACTATTAACTGGACTTAATCATATATATATATATATATTAGTATATATTAGTATATATCATGTTTAAAAACTCATATCGTGTAATGCATGTCTGACGCCCCAAACTTATTAACCCTTCCTTCCTAATCTTATTTTTACAGCATAATGTAGGCATCCATCCATCCTTCCATCCTTGTAGTGTGTCTCAATATATTTTCAGGTGTGGGGTTAGGGCTTGGTGCTAATGTGATCGGAGTTATACCAGGGCAGTACTTCCGGAAACGAAGGCCTGCTGCTTATGGAATCTGTATGGCAGGATGTGGAGCTTGCTTGTTTGTGGGGGTCCACTCAGTCAATACCTTCTCCACTACTATAAACTTCACGGAACACTATTGATAATGGGCGGCATTGGTTTCAATATGTGTGTGGCTGGTGCATTATTGAGACCAGTGAATCCAATTGGAACATGCCGATTAGAAGACGTGGAAGAGCTGGAAACACAAAAATGCATAGTCCTGAAGACCTCTGAAAATGATGACCAAATGGCAACCTCCCAGATTGACGAAAGGTCGTTTTGTTTGGTAAAAGATGTTCAAATGAGGGATATGGAGGCGATTGAGTGTTCTCAAGAACAACCAAACGTTACAACACAATTAGATGAAATGGATTCCATAAATGAAACTAAACACGTTCAGAGATTGATATGTTACAATTGGTCTCGGTTTTGTAAAAGATTTCACATATTTAGACACTTTCCCTTTTGGATGTATAGCTTGAGCATTATGCTATGGAGTTTAGGTGAAGCTGCCTGGATATTCCATCTGCCTAACTACGCTGAACAGAAAGGGCGCTCTCCAGCGGAGGCTGCAAGTCTCCTGACTGCTATGGGAGCAGGGAGCATGTTTTCACGGGTATTTGCAGGAATAGCAGCCTCAGACTCCAACATAGATGCCGTGGTGCTACAAATGGGACTATCGGGTTTGGCAGGAATAATATCTTTCTTGTTTACTGTTGGCCCTTTTACATACGGTTCACTACTTGCTCGTAGCTACTTTTATGGGACATACAGTCAAGGCATCAATTCTCTCATCGGACCAATCATCATAAATCTGCTTGGTTTGCCCCACGTTGCTGTTGCATATGGAATCTTGTGTTTCTTCTGCGGGCTTGGTCATTTATTAGGACCTCCTATAGCAAGTAGGTACATGTGTGAGATAATATATGACGATTGGTTGGTTGGTTTGTTCTTTAACGCCGCACTCAGCAATATTCCAGCTACATGACGGCGGTCTGTAAATAATCGAGTCTGGGCCAGACAATCCAGTGATTAATATCATGAGCATCGATCCACGCAATTGGGATCGATGTCATGCATCAACCAAGTCAGCGAGCCTGACCACCCGATCCCGTTAGTCGCCTTTCACGACAAGCATAGTCACCTTTTACGGCAAGCATGGGTTGCTGAGGACCTATTCTACCCCGGATCTTCACAGGTCATATTACATTTGATCATGAAGATGATTGAGTGTTCCTGTTGCTCTACTTGTCAGATTACATCGTCCCGACTGCTGCCCAGGACTCCTCATAATCACCCTATATGCTATACAGTTCGGGAAATAGTACATGTTGAGCAATAAGAGAATTATGGACTTATCGAAGTGTGGCAAGTATTTCAACTTAATGAAGCTGATAAACTAAATTATTCTCAGGTCGTACCGATAAAGTCTTCTCATCAATGTTTGAAAATGCATTTGATTTTGTTTCAGGCACATTGTACAAAAGAAGTGGAATATACGAGTACACATATGTTTTTGCAGGTATGGTTTGTGAAATGTTAGGTGCACCTGGGTAGTGTTACAAGGACATCTTTCAGAAAGATAACATGATTGTAAACACATCCAAAGAAGGATCTCATATTTTGTAGATGAAAGGAAACCGATTTGCGTATTGTTGTAGTTCATAAAAGGATGTTTTGATATGTGCTGTATGTACATGTCTCTGTTTCTTCATTTCAGGAGCATGCTTGATCCTTGGCTCGATATCAACTGCATTAACAAATATACGTAGATTGAAAAAATCTATGCAATATAAATAGAAAGGGGGTGGGGTAAGAGATGGGTGTCGTGATAGATGTCGGGAGGGTATTCGGGTGCCGCGGTAGGTGTCTGGGTGAGGGTCGGGATCAGATCAATAGAGAACTTTCACAAACGATCCCCAACTGATGTAACTACTCAAACTCATGGTCTCTGGACAGTGAGTGAGTGAGTGAGTGAGTGAGTGAGTTTTTACGCCGCTTTTAGCAAATTTGATATTCCAGCAATATCACGGCGGGGGACACCAGAAATGAGCTTCACACATTGTACCCATGTCGGGAATCGAACCCGGGTCTTCGGCGTGACGAGCGAACGCTTTAACCACTAGGCTATCCCACCGCCCTCTCTGGACAGTGAAAGCAGTGATCGACAAGACTAAACTCGCCTATGTCGGTAGACTCTGTAGATGTAAAGCAGATTATTTTGTTAAAACCCTATTTTCCATTAGACTAGGACAGTACCTAAACAAATGTGTTTCAGATACATCTGTCCATGATCTACTAGGCATTACAAAGAAGTACCAGCTCTTCCATTTCATAGAAACGTATCTCACTGAAGTGCATTTCCCACCGAAGACAACATGGAAAGGAATCGTTAATAACACGGTAGCTCGACTTGAAAGACAGAAATGGATAGAAAAGGTGTCTACTCGCCAAGATCTGAAACGTTTCCATATGATACATGAAGGACTGGCTCCACACAGATTGTGGAATATGTGTGACCTTTACAACATGAATAGCAGGAGCCAATATATGCCCTAGTTAAACTAGGTATTTTACCCATAACAACTGGCATATATATGATGTTTGAACAGGAATGTAACGATGTTGTACTGCACCAGTTAATAAACTGTGACAGTCTGGTGCAAGAAGGACATAACCTTTATGAGAAACTGTTTGATTTACTGTGCTGTAACCAATATCTTAAAATAGAAGATTGTACAGACAACGAAGTGAGAGTTGTGACACTACCTGGTGGCATTACGCATCTTGTATCATCTTCAGATGACACTCGATACATGGGCAGGAATAAGCTCAGGGCAGCTGACGTCTATTCTCTATTTGTAACCTGACTATATACATATCTGTTATCGTGCATGTGCATACTGATTAATTAATTTCCATGTTCGTACTCTCAGATACTTATAGAGGAAATACAGATTATTGCTGCAGCAATGGTACAATATAAGTTGTAGCAGGATCCCGTAGGGTATGCGTCCCTCAGGCTTGTGGTATAGAACCTAACGCGGGACGCAAAACACAACGCATGTACCCCGAGTGATCCTGCTACAACGAATTTACGACATCTTTTAATATGACATTGTAAAAGAATTCAAACAAATTCAAAATTGATAGAAAACAGCTGTTCGATTAAGCTGAGGTTAGCTTGCGCTATGTCACGTGACTTCCACTGGCTTTGAAGCGGGGTATAAGGGATTTATTCTGCCTCTCATAAATCTACGTGCAGTCTGGCTTGCTCGAGACGGGGTATAAGAGATTTAATTACCCGCTGAGAAATGTATTCCCCTCCAAGGCGGGTTACACAGTATTTTATCAAGATCACGTGGACCAATAAGATCTCATCATTCTGACATGAAGGAATGATAATAGAATAAGGGCATCCATATGACCGGCAGCGGACTGAAATACTGAACATCTTCACTTAACTAACAAACCCGAAAGGATATGAACCTCAAAAAATATAATTCTTTGACTGCAACACTTAGTAACTGTTCAACTTGGAAGACATGCAACGACGGGCGGTCGGGTAGCCTAGTGGTTTAAGCGTTCGCTCGTCACGCCGAAGACCAGGGTTCGATTCTCGACATGGGTACTACAATGTGTGAAGCCCATTTCTGGTGCCCCCCGCCGTGATATTGCTGGAATATTGATTAAAGCGGCGTAAAAACCATACTTATTCACTCACATGCAACGACGTCGACCAACTGAATCACAATGGAACAGAGTCGACGGGAACCACCTCGAGCAGTTAAATTACATTTGAAAAGGCAACACAATAGGTAGTCTCATTTGAATATTTGCTACTACACTGACATATGCCCCCAAGATGTGTTGGAACACGACATTCAACACCCACCTGGGATAGTTCATAAAAGCGAGAAAACAATTTCCATATTCATAAGAAATCTCTGCTAAAAGCAGAGTCCATTGTACGATTCCGACTTTATCATGAGCATGTGTTTATGAATCACTATTAAATAGTGATGAAAATCCGTTCGCGAAAAGCTGAGTGTATTCTGTCCCACCGGTAGCACCCGCCGCACACACATGCCAAGGCAAATCGATTGATCACCTAAAAAAACCGCGGGAACACACGGTACACGTCAAAATAGGAACTGCATCGGACATAATTATTGTCAATGATGCGTCATATTTGGAAATGTCCTCCACATGTCAAACCATAAAACTTTTTGAAAGCTTTAGTGATACCTTGAATGCTTTAACCTTGATCAAACAACTTCTGAGCAAGAGCCGTTTGACGTTCTTTGAAATCTTGGAAGAAAGAGCTTGCTCGATTGTATCTCAGAAGTTGTGAAATGTAATCTCCAAAGACTGGAGCCTGCTCGACATGAAGGGAAAGTTGAATGTTGGAAGTCATCCCTCTTGTCATAGTCTTGTGGGGAGTGTTTTGTCACTCTGAATCTTTATGCACGGATCCAAATATTTATCAGATGAGGCGATCTCACTGGTCTCCTTAAGGAGGGTAAATCAGTGGAATGGATTTGGCTCTTTGATGGTTATTGCACGATATCAGTTCATCGATATCCAAAGTTTATTGTCGTTGTAATAGACAGGAAAAATAAAACATGCACATGTGATATTTTTTTATCAAACAACTGCTTTGTTATAATTTCAGAAACATATGTCATATATAAACGTTGTAGTTTGTGCATTATGAAACTATCATTTTTATAAATTGTTTGTGATTGTGACATTTGATGGGCAAACCGAAAGCGAGTGGAGTGGAGGGGTTTGTTTGTTTGTTGTTTTACGCCGCACTCAGCAATATTCCAGCTATATGACGGCGGTCTGTAAATAACAGAGTCTGGTCCAGACAATCGAGTGCTTAATATCATGAGCATCGATCCGCGCAATTGGGATCGATGACATGCATCAACCAAGTCAGCGAGCCTTTTAAACTGTGTTAAACTGTGTTACATAGGAACTATCAGAGTTGTACACTTTATATCAAATGTTTACACCAAATAAAAGCAAAGAAAAGTCTTTGTACACATATTTCACTCCAATGTACCCGCTTACATTAATAAAAATCTACCTATTTATGATAGAGGTTTTATAGTTCTGCCCATATGTACTTGTTCCTGAATTTTTGTGTAGGTATATTGTTTTCACAGTTCAATTCATATTCACGAAACACTCGCGAAAAAGCACACATTTCTTTGTTCAAATTTTGAACCAACCCTTGTCTGGTTTCAACAACCGGAAAAAATGTTTGGTATTTGAAAAATATGATATGTTGTCCATTCGGTGTTACTTTTTCACTTTTTCTTAAGGTAGGCCACCTGTTACCTTATGTTTATGTGTCTTTGTAGATATTAAGTAAATTCAATTATATTTGTAGATCATATTGCAACGTTTAACAATATACTATAACGGTATATTTATATTATACTACATAATATTCAATCATTTATGGTGAGGTTGCTTGATAAATGGTGTCAGTGGAAAATGAAATTGAATATGAAATTGAAATTAGTTCTTTTAAAATTTGTGCAGGCATGCAGGAGACACGGAATATCGAAAACTGTACTGTTTAACAAATGCATAACAACACATGGCTTCTGAGTTAGGCTTCAGCAGTAGTCTGGTAGCGCTGTTGTCATACACTAAGACAGAAGGGGAATTTCTGTACAGCATCACATCACAGATCAATGATCGGTACATATCACACTGGTTATGGGCCAGGAACGCCACAATGAGTTTTCCTCCTAATGATCAGTGTTGGCTCTCCCGGGTCTACACCATCACACCAACAAAGCAAACTGAGTGAGTGAGTTGGGTTTAACGCCTTTAACAGTATTCCAGTTATATCACGGCGTGTCAGCTTAATGTGGGAGGAAAGCCCGAAGTGATGCAGGTCTCAGACGTTTACCACTTCGGTGAAACCCACGAGCACGGGTATGGTGCTGACAAACCTAGAAACATAATCGGGGCGAATCGGGATTCGAACCCACAATCATAGGTTTCTGGCGTGCCCAAGGGACGACTTAGACGACTGGGTCACCCGTACCCCCCAAAGCAAACTGAATATACGACACAAGATGTACCATATCCGATGCATTTCATGACATATACTTCCGTTACACATAGAGAGGTAATGTAAATCCATATTAACCAGTATTTATGATGTTGTACAACGCATTATTAAGTGTGGATAATAAGATTATAATTTTTGTGCGTGTATCTTACTGATTTTATGACACTTCTCTTAGATGACAACCGTCCTATAACATCAGTGAGTGAGTGAGTGAGTTGAGTTTAACGCCGCTTTTAACAGTATTCCAGTTATATCACGGCGTGTCAGCTTAATGTGGGAGGAAAGCCCGAAGTGATGCAGGTCTCAGACGTTTACCACTTCGGTGAAACCCACGAGCACGGGTATGGTGCTGACAAACCTAGAAACATAATCGGGGCGAACCGGAATTCGAACAATAACATCAGTGCACAGTTACAACCATGTAATAATACACATTTTCATACGTCATATTGTCTCTCTTCATAGTCTAAGATCTGAGTTCCAGTAATGAATCAGTTGACAATTTCATATAAGGCTTTATTATGCCTCAAAATGAGATTGACCAACCAGAGAGCAAGACTATTAACCCCACATGAGCCCGTAAACCGTCAGTAAAAATCCAAGATGGTTGTTACTGACCTAATCTGAGACCGTATACAATCAGTAACAGCCATCTTGGATTTTCCAACACACACACCTCACATATATTACATGAACATTCTGGTACCGCAATTCGTTATTTGACACTTTTTTGTGTTTTACTATCGTTAATTGTGATGTGCAAGGACATTGTTCTGTGTTTTAAATCACGTTCGTGACTTTATTGATAAAGATTATAGTTAAACTTGTCAACAAGGTTTGGCCTCTAAGATGTGAAGAGTAGTCTCCCTTTGACCCTTAACGTCAACGAACGGTTGTAAGTGTCAAGTTTATATGGATACCAGAGTGTGTAAATGTTTCGGCATAATAATTTCGTTACGGTGTCATATTAGGTTAGCAGAAAACTACTGGGCTCAGTATGTTTCTGCTAGCCTAATATGACACCGTATACGGCAACTGAAGACACCATGACCAATAATATGCAGTAGTGTCTTTTAGTAATAAAGAAATATGTAGGCCTCATCAACCATATTTCCTTTCAATTTTCTAGAACGAACATCCAAGTATTATTGCTCACCCCGTCACAAGTTTACTGGATCATCATGTAATATACTGGCGTGCACCTAGTCTTTCAGATTAAGGTCACACATTCCAAAGTTTGCAACATCACCAGATACATCGTCTGTGATGTTCCCATCAATTTCTACACTACCTATTGATTTCCCTCCAAAATAGCAATAACTGTTTTCTTATACTCTTCATTATCAGGGCAGTACTCATCGTAGTCATCCGGATCCTTGCCATCATCTTCGTCATTCATTGAAGAAATATCAGATGACAGGAACATTTCCAGGGGCGTTTCACACCTAGCATAAACATCACAGGCAATAGAGGAAAGAGCCTTCACAATCAGAAGATACTCATCCGCAAATTTTTTGAAATGAACGTTCCATGTCTTGATTGCTTCTAAGGCATAATGAAGAGGCGTTCTTTCTTTGTTGTCACGAACGGATGCATTGGCCCCCGACTGCAAAAGCCGATGTACGCTCCCATAACTTCCTCTTTGACAGGCAAAGTGTAAAGGTGTTTGGCCTTGATGATTTTGAATTTTCAAGTCTGCTCCGTATTCTAGGAGATGCTCAGTGCCTTTGTTAAAGTTCATGTATGCAGTAAGATGAAGTGCTGTGTTCCCCTTCTTATTTTGTATATCTGTCTTGGCTCCGCTCTCAAGAAGTAGTTTAACATTGGAAGCTAACCTGCTTTTTGCACTGCAGTGCAGAGGGGTGTCACCCTTTTCATCAACTGAACATGGGTCCGACTTTGCCTCGAGCAAATACTTCACACTGGTACTGTCTGAACCTTTGGCTGCAATATGAAGTGGCGTCCTGTTTTTGAGATCTGAGGCAAAAGGATAAGCACCTTTGTCTAGTAGTAATTTTACGGTCTTGCTAGAGCAACTCCAAGAGGCAAGATGTAATGGTGATCGGAGGCTCAAGTCAACGGAAAATGGGTTGGTCATTGTGTTCAGAAGGAGCTCTACTGTTTCCCTATTTCCCCATTCACATGCCGTATGCAGTGCTGTTTTTCCTTTGTTATCTTGTAAACATGGATCAGCGCCTCTGTCCAAGAGACTTTTCACATTGTCGCTGCGACCATACTCTGCCGCTATGTGCAATGCTGTGCAACCATCAACATCTTGTAGATTTACATCCAATCCTTCCTCGTTCAATAGAGGTTGAACACAAGTGTTGTTTCTTTGCATGAAAGCATAATGCAGGGCAGTGCGCATTTTGGTATCTGTTATCCATTGAACTCCTTTGTACTGGAGAAGAAGTTGAATACAGTCAAAACTGTTTGACAATACAGCATTATGGAGTGGAGTCATTCCCAGATGGTCCTGCAATGATGGATGAGCACCTCTCTCAAGCAACTTCCGAGTGCCACTTGCATTATTGTATTCTGCGAGTAGATGAAGAGCAGTCGCACCACTATTAGATTGGATGTTTAGAAATTGTGTATCAAACTGTGACAATATATCTAAGAGTGCTTCACAGTAGTCATGTTCCATAGAAAGCACATGCAATACAGAGTTTCCAGTATCATCTACCATTGTACGATCAAAGTGTCGTTCTAATAACACTTCCAAAATCTCAGCATTTCTTGACAACACAGCAGGAAACATGGCTGTTCTTCCATGGTCGTCAGCGACATCCACGGGTGAATGTTTCTCGTCGAGAATATATATCAACTTTTCAACCGGATCTATCTTAGATGCAGCTGCAATGTGTACAAGTGAACATCCAGTTTCATTTGTAAGGTCCAATCTTGCACCATGTTCACACAGACACGTTATCATATCAAGATCACATTTGAGAACTGCCTCAAATAAGACAGTTGATCCTTCAGAAACGTATGCATTGGGATCAGCACCCTTGTTGCAAAGTAGTCGCACTTGGTCAATATCTCCATATTGAACAGCTGTTAGCAGGCATGTAACATTTCGCCCACCTGTGTGGTTAATGTCACTTCCTGCATGAAGAAGCAGTTCCGTTGTCTGTTTACTACTCCAAAATGGATTAGTCAGAGGAGTATACCCCAAACTATCTTTGATTTCTACAGATGCTTTAGCTTCAAGCAAAGCATATATACAGTCTAAGTGATTAAAGCTGGCAGCTAGGTGCAGTGGAGTGTCCATTTCGCCATCTTGTATATCTACCATAGCCCCAATGCTTATCAAGAATCTCACTGATTCTACATTCCCATTGGCTGCTGCTATATGAAGAGGTGCTTGCTTCATGAAGTCTCTTTTGTCAACTAAACATTTTATTTTCGCAAAATGATCAGGGTGTAATTGTTTTGTATTTCCCTGATCAAACATGTCCACTATACCAAGTTCATGTTGAGGGATTTGATGTTCTGATAAAAGTCTTTCATATATCATTTCCATCTTCCTTTTGCTACTTAGTTTCGATTTTGCTGCCATATGCATTACGTTAGCTTTTGAGGGAACATCCTCCGTAACAGATATACTGGGGTCATGCTCCAGCAGCAGGGCCAGACATTCAAGTCCACCAAACTCCAGTGCTGCCGTTAGAGGGGTTCTCCCAAGATTGTGATGCGTTTTATCCACATTTACACCTGGGTACACTTTAAACACACATCGCATTGCTGAAGGTGTCACATGACTGGCTGCACGATATAATAGGGATTCTGGATTGACATTGCATCCTGTTGTAAGTAGGGCTTCAATGATATGCTGGAGTGTATCATCAATATTGTAGATCTGGTTGTGATGGCTCCCCCCTGAACTCAATACTTCAAAAATGTTGATCACACATTTACTTAGAAGTGACAGGTGCTCTGTGTTAAGCTGTTTCAGAAGAAGGTCAACTATCACTCTGTTGTGATTGAGGGCAAGCAGGGTAAACAAATGAGTGAAATCCAACATTTCAAAGTATCTCACGTCTTGTGAATACATTGTTCCGTGTATCATACTGATATCTTGCATATATGGCACTGCACAAAGTGCACGGAAACAGTTGTTATCAGGGTGTACACCCATCTGCAGGAGTATCTCATATAGCTGATGATGCCCACCATAGATGGCACATGCCATAATCTGTCTTAACACTGAGGCATGGAGATACGTATGTGAAACAGGAAGAAGTAACATGACAAGTTCCACATTTCCTTTCAAAGCCATGCACGAGAGCATGTTGTCACATTCAAATAATGTTATGTCACTCAAATAGACAAGAGGGTTGGGTGATTCTGCCTTCAAAGTGACACCGAAAGTTGTATTTAACAACCGAGAAATCATGTCTTCTGTGGACCATTTTTGGAACACAAATTTAGCAAATTCCTTTTCCTTTAAAGAAGGGTGATCAAGGACATCCAAACATTTTTCTGACACCATTATTTCTGTGATTCTGTCAGCTAAAAGATAATAGTTGTCATTCGTAAGTATTATCAGGTCTTCAGTAGGAGAATCCAGACTACTGGATTCCCTTACCTTTTCAACTAGCAGCATTACTGGACACACTCCGATGCACATCTTATAAGATGGAGCCATTTTCAGGAATACAGCATCAAATATGGACTGATGACTAAATGTATAATGATTGTCTGATATAGTGAGAAAAGAGTCACAGAGGGAATTAGCCTTTAGCCTGATATTTGATCGAGAAGGAAACGTCGAAGAGTGGCTGATATTTTGCAATGCACAGAGGATATTTTGAAAGGTTTCTGGTGCTTCTCTGGTATCAAGTGTTTTCGTCTTCAACTGACCTTTATGCAGTAACACCAGAAGCAACACAAAGTACCCAAAAGGGTCACTCTCTTCCAAGATGTCTATTTCTTGAGCCAAAAATTCAAACGGTTTCAAGAAGAAGGTTTTACCATTTGATTGTGCTTGTCTGCTGCTGGCAAAGAAACGGCAACATTGTGGAAATCCAAGGGAAGAATGGGCTGTCTCCGCTATTTCATCCATATCCTCTTTACTTATGCAAGACCTTCCACAATATACTTTCAGGAATCTTTTCTTCTCATTCACCTTTAGTTTATATTCGTCTTTGTCTAGAGTTATGCATTTCAAATGTTGCATGAGGATACTAGTATCAACCTGACTCGCACACTGGTCATAAACATCTGGTCTACTGGTCATTATCAGGAAAATATGTTTTGCCTCCACAATTGGCCAAATGATGTTAAATGTTCTGAGCCATCTATCGACATGTCCCTGTATCATGTTACTGGAACCAAATATGTCGTCCAGCATTACAATATACTTTGTCTGTCCTGTTTGCGGAATCATATTCCATTCCGACGGGGCAGTAATTATAACTGGTGTCCTGGAAGTTTCTGACGCTATTCCTGCCATTAACCTTAGGCCAAGATTCGACTTCCCAGATCCAGATATACCTTTAATGAATAAACACCCAAACCTTTTTAACGTTCTGAAGGCTGACCTCTCAGCATACGTGGACACATGTTTCCCCGAATGTTCATACTCCATCAATGCCCTTGTTGACTCTGAAAACAAAGAGAGGCGATATCATAAATATTTGTTTAATAGCACATACAAGTAAACTAAATGAATTGCCTATTTTATCATTCACAAACACAGTAACACCTGAATGAACCTCATCGCAACAACATATTTGGAAATATACTACTCAAAAGAAGTTATGGAACACCCGATTCTTTCATATTACTATAGTTAATATCTCAGATTATGACAGATTAACTATAGTAATATGAAAGAATCGTTTGTTCCTTAACCTCTTTTGAGTAGTATACATGTAATACCCCTAACACAGTTATCATGTCAGTCTAAACTTGAATCTGGACTCTAATGGACTATTATAACAACCCACCACCATCTACGACTTGGTCTGGTTTGTTCCAAAATGACACCAACGAAAAGTCGCATCCGCCGTAGCAGTTGTAGGGTCATGGGTATGGGCGTTGTTGTAAGGTTTCCATAACTAAATTTCAATCAACAGGTGTCCTCCTTTCCGTCGCTATGGAATTAGGAGAGTAATGAAAATGAGGTTACAGTGTAGAGTATCGTAAGATAACCTTTGCACTTCAGTGAGTTGATTGAAATCGGTTAAAAGGGTCAGTTGTCAATAAACCCTTTTATTAAACCTGCATATAGCAATCAGGTGGTCGTTGGAGAGAGGGAATGTAGAAATGATTAGTCATTTGCACATCAGGACAAAGTAACGATCAATTAAAACTGCGAAGTTTCATGATGGTCGGATAAGTAATATTTCATAGTGATAACCCTGAAGGTTGGTTGGTTGGTTTGTTGTTAAACGCCGCATTCAGCAATATTCAAGCTTTATGACGGCGGTCTTTAAAAAAAATCGAGTCTGGACAAGACAATCCAGTGATTGATATCATGAGCATCGATCCACGCAATTGGGATCGATGACAGTTCATCAACCATCTTGATCCCGTTAGTCGCCTCTTACGACAAGCATAGTCGCCTTTTACGACAAGCATAGTCGCCTTTTACGACAAGCATAGTCGCCTTTTACGGCAAGCTTGGGTTGCTGAAGACCTATTCTACCCCGGATCTTCACGGGTTGATAAACCTGAATATAAAAAAAAATTAAAAAAATCTTTCATTTCAACCCTTAATATAAAGGTTTGTTATTAAAGTGCAATTTTAACATGTAGAGTTGTAACAAGGGTTAACCCGCAACCCTTAATGTAAAGTTAATTACATAACGAGTATTGTTTACATTAAGGGTTTTAGTACAAACAAGGGTTAACAAGCAACCCTTAATGTACTTTTCACATGAAGAATAATTTTCACACTAAGGGTTGTAACAAGACAGTATGACTCTGAGAACCAGGGTGTCGACTCAAATTCAGCTTTAGCAGCAAAAATGTTCAACCCATCTAAATAAAGATACTTACCAACCATATTTTCAAAGGTTGGGTTACCTGTAACAGTACAATTACAACGTGTTAGTCAGTTGCTGCATCATTACAAACGGTGGGTAAATGCCATATTCACTCACTATCAACGTGACAGATGTATTCGTGATTTATTACATCGTTTTTGTGTTGGTTAGTTAATGCTGCTCTTAGCTATACACCAACTGTATGACGCTGGCCAGTAAATAATCGAATCTGGACCAGATAACCCAGAGGGTTTGACATCGTGAGCATCGACCTACGTAATTGGGATACGATGAGATGCATCAACCAAGTCAGCGAGCCTGAAAACCTGATCCTGTTAGTCGCCTCTTATAAAAGCATGGAATCCAACAATTATGTCCATCCTATCTTATTTTCAGGGTGAAAATTGGGACCCACTTCCTCATGTTTTATCATAAGAGTGAGTGAGTTTAGTTTTACGCCGCTTTTAGCAATATTCCAGCAATATCACGGCGAGGGACACCAGAAATGGGCTTCACACATTGTTACCTTGTAACCCGGGCTCTAGGCGTGACGAGCGAACGCTTTAACCACTATGCAACCGAACCGCCCCGTTTGTCATTAGAGCCAAATCATGAAGATGTTCAAAATGGGTGGTCAGACTTGGTTAAAAGCAGGTGATCTGATCCCTGTGACGATGCTTATTCTTTAAATCACATTGTTCCACACTCGATCACTTGCAGGCATCCTTGACAAATCTCGAGCATTGCTGAATGTGGCGCTAAACAAAATACTCACATTTACATGTTTTTTCATACTGTCATGTTTTGTTTTCATTTTGTATTCATTCCTCGTTTTGAGTTTTACAAGTCATTCGACCCATGAAGATCCGGGATAGAATAGGTCGTCAGCAACCCATGCTTGCCGGAAAAGGTGACCATGCTTGTCGTAAGAGGCGACTAACGGGATCGGGTGGTTAGGCTCGCTGACTTGGTTGATGCATGTCGTCGTATTCCAATTGCGTAGATCAAAGCTCATGATATCACTCACTGAATTGTCTAGCCCAGACTCGATTATTTACAGACCGCCGTCATATAGCTGGAATATTGCTGAGTGCGGCGTTAAACAACAAACCAACCAGCCAACCAACCTATACAGTACAATTACACGTGATCCTCCACACCCAAGGCTTTAATTGTTAAGCCAACACGGAAACTAAAGTGTGCGTAACGCAGGTCGCATTGCAGGTTTGGTTGTGTGACGTGTCAGGTAAACTATCAGTTTCGATTTACTGAGTGTTGTGTCCTTGTTTCGTAGATGTTATGAGATTGACTCGAAGGCTGATAACAGGGAGCTAGTGTGATAATGTCAATGTTTTCCTTCATTGTGTGGGTCATTTGGCAACTGACAATTGTGTGCCGTGTATGGGTAACGGGGTAAAACAAAGTCCCACGTGCTTGTGTAACATTTATTTTTGTGTTTATTTGATATGAAGAAATCAGTAAAGAAATGTTTCGCTAATTTTAGATAATAACATAAACGACTTGTTTGTATTTTTGTGTGTAAAAACATCGAGTCTGGACCAGACAATCCAGTGATTTATATCATGAGCATCAGTCCACGCAGTTGGGATCGATGACATGCATCAACCAAGTCAGCGAGCCTGGCCACCCGATCCCGTTAGTCGCCTTTTACGACAAGCATAGTCACCCTTTACGGCAAGCATGGTTTGCTATTCTACCCCGGAATCTTCACGGGGAGTACTGTATAGGACCTAAGACAAAATACAAGTGAATGCCTAGTATTACTGACACCCTGTATTCAATGGAGATGAAGTAAACGCTATTGTAAACTCACCTGTGTGTGACGCCATGCTGCGACAAAACACTCACACCTCGCACAGACAGTCTTGATTTATGGCAAAACACCTCGTGACGTGATAGCTGTGGACTGTTAGCTAACTTCCGGATTGTTTGATAACGTGACTGTGAGGGTAAGGTAGTGTTCATTTTGCTGTTCGGGGGTATGTTGGGAGGAGCGGAGGTTGTGCTTAGAGGTGGTGGCATGGTGGTGGCATGGTGGTGGACTGGTTGTGCTATGGGTGGGTGTGTGCGGGGATTGGACAGGATAGTTTTTCGGTCATGCTTCAATGCATGCAACTGTCCTTTGAAAGGAGAACTCGAGCAATTTAAAATGTTACACGGGACACACAGCATGTCCAGCTTGCAATTGTTTAAACCTTTTTACAATTATATTTTTTAATTATTGTCAGGAATACAATATGTGTGGTATATTGCTAACCATAGAGTGAAATTGACTATTTGAAAGTTGAAGTCATCCCTATTTCCATGCGGTCTTGTGATATATTAATATAAAGAAATTCTGTCCTTGATTGTTTTAAGGGTTATAGTTTATCTTTGAGACATAGATTACACGCTCCATATCATGGTTGGTTGGTTGGTTTGTTGTTTAACGCCGCACTCAGCAATGTTCCAGCTTTATGACAGCGGTCTGTAAATAATGGAGTCTGGATGAGACAATCCAGTGATTAATATCATGAGCATCGATCTACGCAATTGGGATCGATGACATGCATCAACCAAGTCAGCAAGCCTGACCACCCGATCCCGTTAGTCGCCTCTTGAGACAAGCATAGTCGCCTTTTACAGCAAGCATGGGTTGCTGAAGACCTATTCTACCCCGGATCTTCACGGGTGCCCATGTCATGGAGCTTTGGAATACAGTACAGTAGAGGAAAAGACGTGTCTTCTTAAAGAGTCAAAAGTTGATATTACTGATGCGCGAATTCAGTTGTTTAACACCGCAACCCCCTCCCTTCCGCGACATATAGTCGACGCCTCGTCAGTCTCTCCGCCCGTAATCATTTCGTTTCCGGAGCTCAACTCGACAACCGTTCAATATTTTTCAACAATAATTGGAAGATATATCAAACCGATCCTGATATGCGCCTTTGGCTATTTACGGATTTGTGGCGTTTTTTATTTTTGTCGATTTCCATGGAAACTATTTGTACTTAGTCTCGTAATGGGGTGGATTTCGTTTCCGGAGCACAACTAAAAACTCGTTCAATATCTCTCAACAAAATTTGGCAGATATATCAAACAGATCCTGAAGGGGTGTATTTTGCTATTTAAGTATTTTGTGCATTTTGTATTTTTCTCTGTGTCCATGAAAACAATTGGACTTAGTCGTTTTCAGAGCAGAACTCGAAAATAATATTAAAATATACTTAACCTGCAAGGTTCATCAATCATCTCCTGAAGTAGTGCCATTATTTTGATTTTTTAAAGGAAATTTCCCCTTTCCCTGGAGACGAACTGGTCTTTGTGTTTTTAGTGAGAGCAGAACTTGAAAGGCTTAAAATATCTTTATCAAGACTTTGAAAATGTGTTTTCAAATAAAATAAAAATTCCTTGATCGGATTGTGTGATTTCCTGTTTCATATTGACAGTTGTCGGGAAGTATTATCATATGATAGACAGATTAGATGAAAGTCCTGAAAAATGGGGACCAGTGGGATATGTCATCTTCAACACACTGTCCTGATACGTGACCTAATTTGATATGGTCTTTGATCAAACCTTAATGTAGTGATGCTTGCATATAATGTTTGGTTGGTTGGTTGGATTGTTGTTTTACAACTTCAACCAAGTCAGAGAGCCTGACCACCCGATCCCGTTAGTCGCCTCGTACGACAAGCCTAGTCGCCCTTTACGACAAGCATGGGTTGCTGAAGACCTCTTCTTTCCCGGATCTGCATATAAAGATTATGTTACTTGCATTCAGTCATATGACCAAGCAATGACGTCATAATTATGTAAGCGAAATCATAGTCGCTAACCATAAGTCTTAGTTCTCCCACGAGCAGACAGCTCTAAAGAAGAGGATGACATGCCAAAAACAATAACACATATTGAGAAATAATTGGATGAACTGTATATTCGTCAGTCTTCTGTGTTAGAATTATCAGGATTATCGCCAAGGCTAGGCCTTCTGAACAACCTTCAGACCTGTGAATGGGGTTTACAAGGCGAATGCCGACAGAGAGAAGATGGGAGCCCCGCTCCGTCGCAATACGGGACGCTGAGGGCAAACTGATCCCCAGGGAGAATTGCAGATTGTAAAACAATCCCTGCAAAGGATAAAACTGCTGTCAGACTTGGAAATTAAAAGACTCGGAAGTGTTAAAGCATCAGACAGGCCCTTGTTTAACAACATTAGCAAAACAGCGTGATATTTGGAAACAGCGTTGGAGATTGTGAGTCAAATCGACGGTGAAAATGAAACTTCCTCAGATGAACAAGGAGACCTTTATTGAGGCGTTGAAGCGCATTTAAAATACCTGCAAGACGAGCATACAGCTTTTATAGTTCAGGACAATTTGACCTCACAACCTCCAGACTTTTTCGTACCGTTCAGTCGAACAAGAGTATGTTTTCTCCTGCCTCGTTTGACCAACTGTGTAGTGCGGCGGCCATGTCTGCCATGGCAACCCAGAATGACTTTATCCCTCGTACCGTGGTGGTAGTGACTTATCGTCATATACGAGCGCTCTACCGATGAGCACTTTGCCGCAGTGTAGTAGTTTCAGAGTTACCTCCCTTATAGCATGCAATGTTTACACCCGTCAACTTGGCGGACTGTGAACACATTCCCTGGACTGGATAATTAATGGTGTTGAAATTCTTTTTACTGAAAAGCCGGAACCGTTTTCTTTTCCGAACCCTGCACTTACACCCAGAGGAGTATAATTCATAGACAGTGAGTGTGATTCTTGTTGACTTACGGTCGCAGTTACAGGCGGTGTAAATGGCCCAAATTACGTCTCACTTATCGGTCGCGTTCCGAAACGAAAAGGAAATCTACGTCTGACATCAATATGGACTCCAGGAACACCTGCGCTGATATCGCTGCAATGGTTACCACAAAAAGCCAGAATTGAATTCAAAATTCTAACCCTGGCCTACAAATGCTACATGGAAACATCCCCATTATATCTCACCGATCTACTGCCTAAATACAAGCCTTCCAGATCTCTCCGTTCTCAGAATAACCACCTGTTACAAGTCCTGGAAACCCGTCTCAAAACCTTTGGTCAGATATCTTTCCAGTTCTGCGCTTCCTCGCTATGGAACAAACTACCATCTGATCTTAGGTGTCGCCATCGCTTTCATCCTTTAAGGCTTATCTGAAAACACACCTTTTCAGACAACACTGTCAACTCGATTCACCTTTCATCAGCATAAATATTATTTGCTAAACCTATGTAACGCCATGAGCATTAACTTGGTGAAAGGCATCTGGCACAGTATAAATGGACTTATTATTATCATCATTATTATACTTGAAATACGTAAATAGTTATTGTGCACCTTCATACAGAAACGAGGATGTAAGAATTGTGTCTACAGTGATAAAGACAGATGACCTCTTCGTTTCCCCTAGACATTAAAAATGGTTTCCACCACGTGCACTAGGTCTGAGTGGAGAAATTATACTACAGATGGTGTGTATTACCATTTGACTTATAATGTGGTCCTCATTATAGCCAAGTGACCAAGACAACTTTTACCCTACCTCAAGATCAGATCGCTTGGTGTAAGACCAGTAGTCTCCGTGCAGAATGACCTCTAGTGTTGTAATTGGTGATCCTCGTGATTTGCATGATTAAGGGATTTAGATCAACTACCAGAGTTGTTGCTTAGAACCCTTTCACATTTTGGATTGTGTCGGTTATTTTGTTAATACATGCCAGACTAACAAACGAGTTCTGAAGAAAGATATTTTACATACATCCATCCACCCAAACATACATACATACCCGTGAAGATCCGGGTAGAGAATTGCCCTTCAGCAACCCATGCTTGCCGTAAAAGGCTACTAACGGGATCGGGTGGTCAGACTCGTTGACTTGGTTGATGCATGTCATCGTATCCCAATTGCGTGGACCGATACTCATGATGTCAGTCACTGGATTGTCTGGTCCTGACTCTATTATTTAAATGTTGCCGTCACATAGTTGGAATATTTCTGAGTGCGGCGCTAAACAACAAATACACAAACAAACAAGTCATTCATGTAATTATTCAAAATTAGCGAAACACTTCTTTATTGATTTCTTCATATGAAGCCTCGAACAAATCAACAAACAAACAAACAAACATAGACAAAGAGGTTATTCAGCTGCACGTCATCAGTTTCATTTGGTTACCACTTGACTCACTATACACTTGAAATCGTCCACTGTGACGAAATGCTCAACAAAGCAAATCAATAATTGTGAAGCTGGAAATTGTATGAATATGTTAATTTTGAAATATATACACGTGAGTGGACTTAGTGCTGTGAGGCTGAGTGAGTCAGCAGCCATCGCGCTTGTGTCTACTGAATATAGCTGGTAACTGGCCGGGCTTGAGTGGCTGTTTCAATATGGCGGCTACCTCAGTAACGCACTCTCTTATAGTGAGAAATATCTGTATTTTTCCTATTGTTAGTTTGCTTTGTTTGTTTGTGTGTTTGTGTGTTTGTTGTTTAACACCGCATTCAGCAATATTCCAGCTACATGACGGCGGTCTGTAAATAATCGAGTCTGAACCAGACGATAAAGTGATGGACATCATGACATGCATAAACCAAGACACCGAGCCTGATCACCCGATACCGATAGTCGCCTCTTACGACAAGCATAGTCGCCTTTTACGGCAAGCTTGGGTTGCTGAAGACCTATTCCAATCCGTATCTTCGCGGGTGCCCATTTTAAGAAGTGTTTACCAATGTACGTGGTTCTCTCTTGCTTGACGACTATTCCAGTGCTACGAATACATTTGGCCTCTATTTTCATGGATTACCCCGCGATCTACCAAGAAGAAAGCTATGGCTGGCGTATTGTCGACTCAAACTCAAAGTCATAAGCACATACAGCAGGTTGTGCTCCTTACATTCCTCAAAGAAGGATTATGAAAGGGATCCCGAGTTCATGGCACACTATGGCTACAATAAAAGTTAAACCCAAGCTTTTTAAGTATGCTGCACCGGGCATTCCCTTGGCTACCGACGGCACAAGTTTTGGTTGGTTGGTTGTTTAACGCCGCACTCAGCAATATTCCAGCTATATGACGGCGGTCTGTAAATAATCGAGTCTGGACCAGACAATCCAGTGATTGACAGCATGAACATCGATCCACCCGACGGCACAAGCAAGAATACGGTCACCAACCGTGCCAGGTTCACCGAGAGGGGGCGTTTCAGAAGCGACGACGGTTAGAACAATTAGAAGCGGAGAAGGAGATATGAACTTGATTGACAATATTAAGTTGTATAAATTACATGCTCTCTTGTATCTTTCACAGTTTTTATTTACCCGAGTTGTTGGTGTAGATCGATTTTACTGTACTTTGTTTTTATGTCAAAAATGTCGAAGGCTTTGTCATTCATTAGTGATTGGGCACTCGACTATATACACTAGCCGCATGGTTACTTGGTTTGAAAAAAATAAGAATTGTCATAGTTGTTTACGATTTATATAATTTATATTTTATATAATTAATCAGTGAGTTGGGTTTAACGTCGCTTTTAACAGTATTCCAGTTATATCACGGCGTATAAAATTCATTAAAATATGAAATAAAATCATAAAGTGTAAATTAATTATTTTCCGGTTATAGGATCTGAAAGGAGCATTATGTTTGTTTCAAAGCAACACAAGATTGTGGACAGTCCAGTACAGATATTCAACACAAGTCAATATTTCAGCGAGGGCACGGGTGGCCCAGCCGTCTAAGGCGCCGCGGTTCGCTGTGCAGAGTTGCTTCCCTTGGGCACACCAGAAACCTATGATTGTGGGTTCGAATCCCGGTTCGCCCCGATTATGTTTCTAGGTTGGTCAGCACCATGCCCGTGCTCGTGGGTTTCACCGAAGTGGTAAACGTCTTAGACCTGCATCACTTCGGGCTTTCCTCCCACATTAAGCTGACACGCCGTGATATAACTGGAATAATTTTAAAAGCGGCGTTAAACCCAACCCACTTACTCCAACTTGTGTTGAGTTTGCTGCATCTGTCAGTGGAAAACACCGTTTCGAATGTCAGGTGTCATGTTAGTGATTTATTCTACCATTCCATATATTGGTTTTGCTCAGAATCAAATTGTATTAATTAATTCCATAATTGTAACAATTTTAGCTTTCATAGTGATATATGGATTATCATTTAAGTTGAACAGATAATATATGTTGATTCATGGATACCTTCTTCCGATTATTCAGGCCATTGCGTCTCAATTCCATTATGATAAATACCATGTAGCAACTCAATATGATTTATGGCTTCCTACACACTCTGAGCTGTTGCACATGTATACATATCTGGTTTTGATTTGGTTTGCTGTTTTACGCCGCACTCAGCAATATTCCCGCTATATAGAGGCGGTCTGTAAATAATCGAGTCTGAACAAGACAATCCAGTGATTAACATCATGAACATCGATCCACGCAATTGGGATCGATGACATGTTTCAACCAAGTCAGCGAGCCTGACCACCCGACCCCGTTAGTCGCCTTTTACGACAAGCATAGTCGCCTTTTACGGCAAGTGCGGGTTGCTGAAGACCTATTCTATCCCGGACTCTTCACGGGTCCCGCGCAATTGGAGTCGATGACATGCATCAACCAAGTCAGCGAGCCTGACCACCCGGTCCGATCGCTTTACCCTGTAACATTTCTCGAACAGAAAGCACCATTAGCTTTAAATGTTGCATGAAAATGAATCCGTAAGGTACGACATTTTATGAAATCTAAGAAAACTATAAACACCTATGAATATAGCGCTAGCGATGTCTCGTATTATAGTACGTGGTATTCATTTGGAGTGGTGGTCCCTCGAACTGACGTCCCCAAACTTGCCTAATTTGTACTTACATTAACTATGTAACTCCGACATATTAGAGTTTATTGTCATATGAGATTCACTGCACATTGGCGATAGAAATGACATAAATACGAAGATCCAAATAAATAATGTAATTGAGGGCTACAGTGAATGACAGAGTTTTTGTACTTGGTTCACTATCAAATAATCTTATATTTACAAGCAAAAGCGCTGCTCACCCATACACGTTAGGTCGTACATCAGTCAGGGCGAATAGACAAACTGACACGCATGGCTTGCTCCCCCTTGCGTCAGTATGTCGCGGACAGTTCTCGCGGTTGATGTTCAATGTTTCGTTGTGCATCCCGCATCTCCAATTCAATAAACCTCTCCTGTCTATATCTTGCCGATTGAATACATGAAACCACCATAACACAATTAACTGCAACCTCGGGGTGTGGGAAGAAATCTCGAATGTGATGCACATACCTTCAGCAAAATACATATCTAAATAAATATTTAAACGCTAACGTTTTTATTGCACATATTAAGGTAAGGTGAAGAAAGTTACGTAATCAGTTGTTTTGGTCATGCAGCTAGTTATCTTTTCACACCGCCCCTCAATCACATTCCCTTAAATAAACACAAACAAAACAACAAGAAATTTTAAAGTGGACCTCGACTCGCTTCATGCGAAGACCCTAAGACAACACATATAACGTCAGCGTTTGGGGGACAAGATGGCGCCCTTGTGACAAGCAGTGAGGGAGAGCAGTGCTCTGGTTGGTTTAATGGCTTCAAGTCAGAACTTGGTATTCTGAACTAAAGCTATTGTCTCTCCAAGTTTACCTTCTTCGTATCAAGCCTCTGATGTGGAGCATGAATATGGTAAACACAAACAGTAACATAAGTGGTCTCATTCACTCGTCTTAGTGTAAAGCAGACACTTATGTTTGCCATAATGTTCAAGACACCTATTTGATTATCACCATTGGTAGTGGGATGCTGTGATGCAGCTAAAATAGCGCTGACTTTGGTGGTGAATCCAACACATGAATCCACAGTGACTAACTTTGTATCATGTCGTGTTCCTGTTGATCATCGGGGGTGATGAGGCTGGGTCTTCATAACCGCCGTGTAAACTAGATGCACTTCATCAACAACATACATACAAGAGGAGCTGTCCCTGGTCAGTTGATGAATGAGTGCATCATCTTACTATACTGACTAAAGCAGCGGATATCGAACTGAATATCAAGCACGTCCCTGAAAATAAAGTAATTGAGGTCATATTAACCGAACAACTACCATGACAAGTGTATTGACTGTGACTTAAATCACGAGGTCTGAATCCAAACGGGTAGGTGATGTTGTGAGGTGAGGCGTCCAAGATTATTGCACTCATATAGCGACGTGCATGTACGTGTGTGTGTTTGTGTGGCTGCTTGTACTAGTCCGGACTGATGCCGATTTATAGTGCTAGCACACTTAGATACCATGCCGCAGTTTAACATGAATACCCCACTCAGACACAGTATACTGACTCCGAGCCGACCAGTCCTTGTTTTAGCCCCTTAATGTCAAGCACCAGACAGGGTAACAAGTACCATCTTCAACGTCTTTTGGTATGACGCGGTCGGGGATCGAACCCCGGACCTTCCGTCTCCGGGCGGACGCTCTACCACTAGACCACGGAGGCAGTAGGTGATGTTGTGAACAACAATTAACCCTGTATGTGTGTGACAGGAAAGCTGAGGCCATTGTAACTACTTGTTATACAGGCCAGTTATTGTAACCGACAGTGAAGGGAGGAAATATTTCAACTGATCAGTAATACATAGGTTTGTTAAAGATGCCTCTTATTTAAAGCATTGTGTTTATGACCAATAGAGTGCTAATAAAATAAATATTGTATAGGGAATACCCTTCATAAATTTTTTCAAAGAATTCAACTTTTAACAGTCATGTAGTGACAATATCGTACCTGCAAATACATAGGTAAAATCATACACCATGCTTAACTTGAAAATCCAACCTGAAAAAAGAAAAGCAAATCATGACGAAGCTACTTTCACATCACCCAAAAGAAACCCTCTTCCCGAGGTAAGAGAGTTAACTGACTTAAAAGTCCAGTTTCCACCCTTGCCGAACTAGGCTGGAATTACTGGGCTCGATCGTAGCGCCACCAGTGGTCATTACGTGTTATGTCCCTTCTAAGCCTCTCCTATGGACCAATCAGATTCCACCCCTTGTATCACTTGCATTTGTTTCAAACAAAATGGCGGCGCCCTGTCAAGACGATCTGATCAATAATCAACATTTATGTTGTGATAAAACGGGCCTTACTTCGCGAAGTACATCAAATCACGCGAGCACCTTGATTAAAAACATGAAAAAATTTGGAAAATATCTGCTGACAACGAGTTGGCGGTGCACATGTTTTGCAAATCCTGCAATCGACTGAAATCTACACGACAATTTACGAACGGGATTTCGATTTCGGTGCGCGATTTTGATTGGACTGTGCATAGACTCGTTAGTTCAGCCAAAATGTAACTCCATAATACCACCCTAGTTCGGCAAGATGAAAGAAACCGGATCGAATAAGTAACACAGCTCCACAGGTAGGTTACGTATGCCACAGTTGAAGGGGTTATATTTAAGAATATTTCAGGAGTGTTAGGGTCATTAAATGTTTTTAAGTTTGCTCAAAGTAATTCTACATACTGCCTGTCACGCTGTGAAAAATATAACATCATCGCCAGAGATCCTCTGAAACAGGTTCCACTGTTGGCATCAATATGAATGTATCACTGAAAATTAGTGTTGACACCAGTTTGTCGCGTGAAGGGTAAGCATGTCCTGCCCTCACAGTCAGAAACACAAACAGGTGGGTGAGGTGAAATGGGGTTTAACCTCGCGTTCAAGATTATTGCACTTATGTAGCGTGGTGCATGTGTATGTGGCTGGCTGCTTGTACTAGTCCGGACTGATGCCGATTTATAGTACTAGCCCACTGAGATACCATGCCGCAGTTTAACATGAATACCCCACTCAGACACAGTATACTGACTCCGAGCCGACCAGTCCTTGTTTTAGCCCCTTAATGCCGAGCGCCAGACAGGGTAACAACAAGTACCACCTTTTGACGTCTTTAGGTATGACGCGGCCTGGGATCGAACCCCGGACCTTCCGCTCTCGGGGCGGACGCTCTACCACTAGACCACGGAGGCGGTCAGGAAACACAAACATATGCAATGGTGCCTTTACGAGCCACCAATATTGGAAGTTTGAATCGTAGTGATACTTACTTGCTACTGGAGGTCCTAGAATGTACCCAACTCCCATGGAGTAGTACACAAGCCCATATGCCACTGGAACATCCTTCAACGTAACCAAAGCAAGGACAATAGGACCCACTAGGGTATTTGTACCTTGGCTGTATGTCCCATATAAAATCCCAAACACCATCTGAGTGTTGTATGTGTGAGAATAAAGAGGGAATAACATCAATAGCACCCCAGATATGCCAGTGAATCCTATTTGGAGAATCATGTATGGAATTTTCGTGTCTGAGGCCATCATTCCCGCAACCACTCTTGAGAAGACACTTCCTACTCCCATTGCAGTGAAAAGAGTTGCAGCCTGATCTGGCGAGCTTCCTTTTTGTTGAGCATAGTATGGAAGATGGAAGACAGCGGCTGATTCACCAAGTGTCCACAGCATGATGCTTAGGTTATATATAAGAAATCGAATTTCCTTAAGAACTCGAAAAGCACTGACAACGTGGCATATATTTGATTTTATTCTTGATTTCTTCACATCTTGTTGGGGTGAAGAGATAAACGCATGGTTAAATAGAGGATCATCTGCAGTTGAAACTTCTGTTAGATCAATAGTATCCTCAGATTGTAGTTGGTAAATGCTAGTAATTTCTTTTTCTGAAGGTTTAGGATGTTTTTCTATCTCAAGAGCCATTTCCTCGCTTTCTGGTGACATATGTAAATCGTTTGTGCTCAAATGCTGCACACAATCGTGATCGTTATCAGTGTTTTCATCCACTGAGTGATCAATGTTGACTACAGTTGAACTCTGTGACTGTTGAAGTGGCCTTAAGACAGCACCAGCAACACACATATGCAATTCTATTGCACCAAGAATAAGAAGGGCGCCACTTAGATTGTACTGACTGAGAAGGTATCTCACAAGAGGCCCAGCAACGAACAGACCCATTCCTCCACCGGCAATGCACACACCAAACGCTGTTGCTTGCCTCTTTGAAAAGTACTGCCCTGTAACAACGCCTACTACATTCCAAGCAAGACAAATACCGAATCCTGTCCAAAGAGAAGAAACACATTTCAGATATGCCCATGAAAATATTACATATATGTAAAACATAGTGTGTGACTCAAAATCAGAATTTCAAGATAAAACGATTACAGACAATACAGAGAGAACTGTTAATGTGTTAATATATTTTTTATCAATTCTTAACAAACATTACAGATGAGTTACAATACTCGGTATCCTTGACAATCATTTTTGGTTTTGGTCAAAGAAGCAATGTTCAAAGACATATGTTATTTGTTTTGTATTTTTCTTACTCTATGTCAGTGACTGTTCATAATAAACTACATAAGAAAGTCAAATGTAACTATTAAGTAAATAGCAGATTCATACATACCTGATACAAAGCCATAGGTTAGCACCAGGCCCAATATGGATTTGCAAAATGAAGCAACCGTCATGCCAACTAGAGTTAAAGCGCCACCAACAATAGCTGTAATACGGGAACCAGCCTTAGATTGTATCAAGCCAGCAACGGGACCTGTGAAGTTGACAATACATACCCCTGTAAGACCCATGGACACCTAACAAACCAACACTCATTATTAGGCCGAATCTGGGATTCAAACCCATGATCTTCGAATCATGTCACGTCAAGTGTGCACAGAGTTGCAGTGTTACAGCGACAGGATTTACTCTGCGCGCCAAACAGCAGCTTTAGAACACCAGTTGAATAGAGATCTATTCCAAAGGAACATAGGAATACAGCTCGTTTGAACAAAGCATTGATGAGTCAGCTTAATCTTGCTACATTGGATCAACTTGGCAAAGCTGAGATGAATATCACTTTCTCGTCACATTTATACAGTACCCATTCACTTTCAAAATATGATCCTGATTACAATTTCATGCGCGAAAGCAGATACGTTATCAATTCAGATCTTACATACCCAGTAAAGTGCAAGTGCCAAAGTTGATTGAGCCAATCCAGGAGGTCTTAGTCAGATCATTTTCAATTTCCTCCAGGACTGCGATGTTCATGACACCAGGAGAGTACGCCAGTATTCCAGCCACGAACTGTAAGGTGAAGGCAGCTGCAAGGATCACCCAGGCGTAGCCCCGGTCGACATTTGCTCTTGAGACTTCCATCCCTCTGTCGCACAGATACATTATTATCATTCCTTGTTACTCTACAAAGTGAGGAATCTTTAAATGGATACTATGATAGTTGACGGGGGCACGGGTTGCCCAGTCGCCTAAGGCGCCACGATTCTCTGTTTAGAGTTGCGTCCCTTGGGCAAGCTAGAAGCCTATGATTGTGGGTTCGAATCCCGGTTCGTATGTTTCTAGGTTTGTCAGCAACCTACCAGTTTCCGTCGGTTTCACCGAAGTGGTAAACGTCTGACACCTGCATCACTTCGGGCTTTCCTCCCACATTAAGCTGACACGCCGTGATTTAGTTGTTGTTTATTGTTTAACGCCGCACTCAGCAATATTCCAGCCATATTAAACCAAACCCACTCACTCACTCACTATGACAGTTGACAACACTGCTGAGAACTTTTACCTTGCCTTTTCTGTTAGAATAATAACCAAAAGTCATTACATACTTTTCTGCACAGGTATGTAGGAACAGGCACGTCGGTTCTCTGGTGTGATAGGCTCAACATCAGATGTTACCTTGATTATCACAGGGCACATATGGCAGTAGACACGTCGGTTCTCTGGTGTGATAGGCTCAACATCAGATGTTACCTTGATTATCACAGGGCACATATGGCAGTGGACACGTCGGTTCTCTGGTGTGATAGGCTCAACATCAGATGTTACCTTGATTATCACAGGGCACATATGGCAGTGGACACGTCGGTTCTCTGGTGTGATAGGCTCAACATCAGATGTTACCTTGATTATAACAGGGCACATATGGCAGTGGACACGTCGGTTCTCTGGTGTGATAGGCTCAACATCAGATGTTACCTTGATTATCACAGGGCACATATGGCAGTGGACACGTCGGTTCTCTTGTGTGATAGGCTCAACATCAGATGTTACCTTGATTATCACAGGGCACATATGGCAGTAGACACGTCGGTTCTCTGGTGTGATAGGCTCAACATCAGATGTTACCTTGATTATCACAGGGCACATATGGCAGTGGACACGTCGGTTCTCTGGTGTGATAGGCTCAACATCAGATGTTACCTTGATTATCACAGGGCACATATGGCAGTGGACACGTCGGTTCTCTGGTGTGATAGGCTCAACATCAGATGTTACCTTGATTATCACAGGGCACATATGGCAGTGGACACGTCGGTTCTCTGGTGTGATAGGCTCAACATCAGATGTTACCTTGATTATCACAGGGCGCATATGGCAGTAGACACGTCGGTTCTCTGGTGTGATAGGCTCAACATCAGATGTTACCTTGATTATCACAGGGCACATATGGCAGTAGACACGTCGGTTCTCTGGTGTGATAGGCTCAACATCAGATGTTACCTTGATTATCACAGGGCACATATGGCAGTAGACACGTCGGTTCTCTGGTGTGATAGGCTCAACATCAGATGTTACCTTGATTATCACAGGGCGCATACACGCTTCAATATTGCATCGATGAAATAATGCGAACTCATTTTATTTATCAGCCTTTGTGTTATTTCCCACAACAATTCGAAGCATTCAAATCACAACAAATACATGTACTACCATGGACTTCAATTTAATAAAATTAGTGATACACCAACATGTGCAGCACACAGACATCTTTGACAGGCCTTTACCAATGATCTATATAGTAAGTTTAGATCGGGGCCTTTACATATTTTAAGAAGAAATAACGTTCAATATAATAAAACAACTGATTTTAAATGTTACTTTTTATATCAAAATAAAAGTTGCATCTGAATATTTAAATTTATATTATTTTTTTAGAAATAGTCCAAATGAACATCTACCATGCATCTGTTAAGCACTCAGTTACTCAGTTGCAATATACATACTAGTCATCATACTTTGAAATAAGAGATTTACCCATATTATTCTGCCCTTATAACATGTGTCCCACCATTCAGGGCTCTGAGTCATCACAGGTGTTATTTCATTCATCCATCATTTCTTACAGAATTCTTATACACATGCTCTTAAAATAGTAGTAAATTACAAAGTTTGTCCCAACAAACAACAAATCATACTTACTACCCCACAAAATGTGTATGATGCATACATAGATCTAAGTCATAGTTTTACCTTCTTGTTTTAGTAACATAATATGTATTTTAATGTTGACAAATTATTTCCCATACAAACCCACACACTACCCTGCTGTATCTAAGTATCCTGATTTTCATTCAACAGTACTTCAAGACACCTGTAGTATTAAGTATATATTGTAGATATTATTATCATGTAGCAAATATGAATTTAGAAAGTTTATCATCAAATCTTCTGATGGTTAAATAAATGCAAATTGAACCCCTCAGTCATTCCATGTAGATAAATGGATTTATTTATGTCAGTGTCTATAATCAGGCCCAATACGTATTTTGACTGAAAATTTCAGCTAATATGCATATTGACTGATTCACTCAGGCAAGGTATATTCTTTCTTAAAATTTCATTAATTTATTATTGCCTGAAAAATAGGACCGGATTTTTAGACAGACTGGCTGAAATGAGTTAGACTGCATAATTTAATCTCCTCAATTTAATTTGGATCTATTTTGATCTTATCAAGATCAAAGTAACTTATGTAAGAAATTACAAATGTTTTCACAATGAATTGATTGATTCTCTAAACCTGAAAGAATACCAGAGTCCCTTTTTTATGTTACTTATCTTTATTGGCATAATATTCACTTCAGAAACAGATGACTGCTAAAAAGTCATGCATGTGTAATCAAATACTAGTACACATGCACAAGTGTGCCAAGATATTAAATAAAATAAGAGTCATTCTGCAATGCAGATATATTTTGGTGTGAAGAGAAACAAGAATAACATTAATAATTTGTTTATGTTGGAATTTGAAACAACAGATTAGAACAAGGAAACATAAAAAGAAAGGCCTAATGAAGTTAAGAATCAGCTTTATCTGTGTCACAATCATATGATTATTGTCAATGCAAACTGGATATAGACACTGCATTGTTAATACAATCAACATTATAGAGATTGACAATTAGTATGAATATATTGTTTTATTTTACAAAAATTGTAGTTGGTACAAATGCTCTTGAATATGTATTTTAACTGAAATATAGGGTCCTCTGTGTCTGAAATCTTTTTTTCTACTTTGTAAAATTAAAAAAAGGCCAAAATAATATATATCTTTCATTGATCATATTGAAATATAATCATGGTAGTATTTGGCAACAAACAGCCACCAATCATACATAAAATCCTTTTATACAACATGCACCAATTAACCCTTAAATATCAAAACAGATTTCAGTTATTTCCATTTCTTTTATTTTGAACATTGTATCATGATATCTAGTTGATGACGTAATTTTACAGTGCCTGTTACCCTTACAATTTCTTGAGAACATTTCTTATTGCTCTCTGTTATATATCTGACAAATACTTACATGTGTTGCTGTCAATATTCACAACATTGAGGCAACGGGCAGCGTTGCATGAGACCTTCACATTTCGCGTACCGTATCGCCTAACCGCTGTACTTACTGAAATGCATGCATATGATGTAGCCTGCTCGGCGATGATACAACATAGATATAGGAACGTATACAAAATCTACTTGATTTTTAAAAGTGTGATATTCATACATCAAGGGCAACACTTTCAGTACCGATTGCAAAACGTCAACAAAGCGACCTGGGATGAACGATCAGCTGATCTCACCGCATCGCTTCGAACGCCTATCTAGTGGTTAACTATACAAAATAATCAGTCGTGGTCATCCCTGGTGTATCATTAAATCAAAGAACATTTGTTTCCGGACATGGCAATAGATAAATCATTGCTTAGGCGAAAAGATATACTGTCCACACACAAGCGTGACCGTTGCCGACAGAGGTGAAGGTTATACTAGTTAACTGTCTATAGGTGTCATAGTTACATGTAGTGCTCGTATCGCGCATACCACATACGCCGTCAGTTTAAGGTTGGACCGTCCGGGTCAGCGCACCTAGCGGGTTAGTGAAGGGAAGATAAATTGAAAAAGATCGCCCATTGTATGTACTACTTTCCAAATCATTGGAGGAAACATTCATTCATTCATTCATTCACGTTCTGCAACAGTGTGTGTCCGTTCTACTCCTCTCTCGAGGCGAGGAAGGCGCGGCAATACACACCTTGCCCCAGGAAAGACAAATGTTACATACCGATATTGATTACCGATCACATACACATGAACAAACATCATGTTGTTTATGTAGAGTCATAAAAAGTTACCGCTTACCTCTCACGTGATATCCTCAACAGTGACCTCCAGATATCACTGAGATAAATCTAGACGTACAGCAGGCAGACACACCACGTCAGCGTGGTGAAGTGTTACAGCGAATGCAGGACGTGTACTGCACGAACAATGTGGATATACAATCGTGTGCTTCTCCATACAAATGAGCAAATTATACATATCAATCCACTGTGACACTGCAGGATTGAATATTCTCGTCAAGCTGTAGCTGATAGTCAGTTGTACAGCGACTGTTGTAGCCGACTCATGAACGGAAAGCTCTGTTCAGACCTGCATCACGTGTTGAGCTGCGTGTTGTGTTACCGAAGTTTCGACCACGGGTGCTGGATATATAAACTGATGTATGCACATTGCACGGCGGGCCTATCATTCTCAACGTTCTAGCATCTTCGGTTAAATGTGTTTGTAATGTTGTGAGTGAGTGCATGAGTGAGTGAGTTGGGTTTAACGCCGCTTTTAACAGTATTCCAGTTATATCACGGCGTGTCAGCTTAATGTGGGATGAAAGCCCGAAGTGATGCAGGTTGGTGCTGGCAAAACCCAGAAACATAATCGGGGCGAACCGTGATTCAAACCCACAATCATAGGTTTCTGGCGAGCCCAAGGGACGCAACTCTACACAGCTAATCGCGGCGCCTTAGAACCCCCCCCCCCCCCCCCCCCCCCCCCCTTGATGTTGTAACAATGGTGAAAGTGCAACATATAATGGTGAAAGTGCAACATATTTTATATCAAAAGCGGCGAGTTCTTGAACAAAGTATGAGACAGCTATTAACTTCGCTTGACAATGCATATTGGTAAGTAAAAGCCAAATTGCGACTCGTCCTATTTATATGCACTCATTTAAAGTATTTAATTTATAAACATTAGACGGTTAGCCAATATGGAATTCCAAATTTTCTGAATCTTCCACATGACACCTTTCTGAACACGTTATTGCAACTATAAACCATAACTCACTGAACTCATTCACTCTGAACACGGTATATGTTTATTGTAATACAAGCGACAAGTGTTGTTTCCATAATCCTAAAAGATATATACGAAAAGTCCATTTTACGCTTCCGACTGTAACATAAGCATGCGTTTATGAGTGACTATCACATAGTGATGATACCAGCTGTTCTCGAAGAGGTGATTCTATCCCGCCCTAAAACACGGGAACATATGTTACATGTCAAGATGAAGAATTCCGTCGGACATAATTTTTGTCGCTGATAAAACAAATTTGTAAAAGTTCTCAACATATCTACCATAACACATTTGAAAGCTTCACTGCGGTCTTGAATGTTATAACCCTGATAAACAACTTTTATGTTTTCTTCATCGTATTGATAAGGCTAGTACTCCATCAATAATGGTGCAACATTAGTCAAATTACACGTGCACAATCAGGAGAATGTTGGAATCTAAGGACTAATTTATAGGACAGATAGGGCCATCCACTACGCTATTACGTCTTTTTTTTATGAAGTGCGATTTTATCATTTCTTATTGGTTTTTTTTTTATACCTATACGTATACAGTTTCAATAGATATACTAGTGTTGGAATAGTTTGGTTCCTCGAGAACAAAACACCAAGAAAATATATTATCCTTACCTACAGGTAATTCTCACCAAGTGACAGAGTTACAATAAACTTGTGCTAAGCATAGCGGAGTTATGCCCCCATTTCTTTGTAGGTGTGCAACCTTTCTGTCGCCACTTGACGTCAAAGAGGAAAATCAGTTTTCGTCATTTACGGCACGCCATTTTTTGCTTTGAATGTATGTCGTTATACATACGCATATAACTCCATTTGATATATATTTATGTCGTTCAGATATTAGGCAGTATTTTTTTCGCTCACCGCGTCCGTAAAGCTGCTAAAGAAAAGAAATCGTCGGACACTACTTTTATTGGTGTACGATAAAAAGCGGAAACATTGGCGGTTTTTCAACGCAGAATACATTTTCGGTCAACACTGAGCTGTGTCTTTTTTTCAAACCGGTTTAATATTTGCAGTTACATTTACACCATCAGATAGGAGTTTTTTTTTTTTTACATCTCTGCGTTATTCTGTAGCCGGAGGTAGATCCGGTGCCGCGTGAGCGCAATTCTCGCACAAGGTTCACTTTTCCGATCTCAGGAAAATGTGCGTAGAAAAAACAACTCGGGAAATCACCGACCCTCTACTAGCCTACAAAAATTCAATTGCATATTGTGACGTCATTGAACAAAAAAATATGAAGCGTTTACTTATTCCGGCAATTCAGATAACATATCAAATAAGAGTTGAAGACTCGCAATGGATTATCATACGTTAATCGAAAATACAGTCTACATCAATAATTTGTAAATCATATTAATTACATCTAACATCCATGGCAGAATGTTGAAATATGAGCTGTCGTGTTATGATAATATATTCAATTTTCTGAGGAGATTTATAATGTGTATTTGATGGTATATACACATACACAATTTGTTATAAATTTTCTTGTACAATCACAAAATGTACCATGTTCATTAGACTCACGGAAAGTACTATTTCAGGAAACCAATCATAGCGCCATTATCACAGTTTCAATGAAAGGAAAGACAAGTCGAAATTGAACTTTACAGCACATCGTATCCCGAAGCGGTTAACCCAAATGCAAAAAGGTATTGCTGTTATCACTTTAGAAGTTATGTTGATGTTTTCAATAGTTGTATTATGTTTGTATCGACAAAAACGGGGGCCGAGCTACCACACGTCAAACCGACCTCGACACAATTTGTTTACAATATGGCGTTGAATCATGTTAGATGTCGTGGCCACACTTTTGAAATCGTCTTTTTCGATAAAATGTCAAACGGTCAGGGCAATTCATTCACGCTGTCAGGTAGTTGAGCAATCACACAATTCTCATAGTCATTTCATATGAAAAAAGCAGCAGTTATTTGTCGAAACGGGCGAGCATGAAAGACAAATGGTAGACAAGAAATCACGGCACAGCTATGATGCGAACGTGTACTGTTCATCACTTCGGGCTTGGTCATTCAATGTTTACGTTTTGATCATGAACTTCCTGCCCCTACATATACACTATACCAACTTCATGTTACCACCTTCACCACCTATCTTTCCATATCTTAGATTTGAATATTTTCTGTAAATCAGCATCACATCATAAACAGAAAGACAATCTGCAGTGCCGTTTCGTCTCAAGCGCCGTGCTAAATCGCCATGACACACAGTCGATAAAAATATGCAATACTTGAACAAAACACTTCCGTTGCTGATTAAACGTTAATAGTCTTACGCCAATAACTGTGCAGTGGTGAAAAGTAATTATTTCTGACCCGTCTGATCAATTTCTTTTTCAAATTGGCTGTGGATATTATAATAGCTACGTGAATGTAGCAGGGATGCATAAGAAAGAATTCGCGGTCATTCGCATGAAATTCAACATGGCAGAAAAAGGTAAAGAAGAACGGTAACCACTTTACTAATCTCACCATATTTCGCAATTCGAAGCACTGTATAAAATATGAGTTACACGATGTTAAAGCTGAGATGATAAGGGTGATGATGGATATAATTTTGATTTTGCGCACTCAGTGTTTGACATCTTAATTCACAGTTGAAAAGGGATATTTTCGCGGGACCATATATAGTGCCAATACAACGTTAACATGACAACGCGATCAGCGCTATGTTCTAGGTGTCTGTTATTACCGTTATTAACGAAAATTAAAAAGGCATCAGATACATGATAAACCCATTGTTTAGAGAAACGTTTGAAGGTCTGATCCGATAGGTGTTTCTCGAGCTCGTTTGGCACATGTGCGTGTTATATACCCCGATAACGTAACCCTTGAAACACTCGTGCTGCAACAGTGTGTGTCCGTTCTACTTCTCTCTCGAGGCGAGGAAGGTGCGGTAATGCACACCTTGCCCCAGCACAGACGAATGTTACATACCGATATTGATTACCGATCATATAAACATGAAAAATCATCATGTTGTATATGTAGAGTCATAAAAAGTTACCGCTTACCTCTCACGCGATATCCACAACAGTGACCTCCAGATATCACTGAGATAAAACTAGACGCACAGCAGGCAGACATACAACCGCAGCGTGGTAAAGTGTCACAGCGAATGCGGGACGTGTACCGCAAGAACAATGTGGATATCCAATCGTGTGCTTCTCCATAGAACTGTGCAAATTATACATATCAATCCACTGTGACACTGCAGCATTGAATATTCTCGTCAAGTTGTAGCTGAAAGTCAGTTGTACATCGACTGGTGTTGCCGACTGATGATTGGAAAGCTCTGTTCAGACCTACATCATAAGCATGCATTTATAAGTGACTAGTGATGATACCAGCTGTTCTCGATGATGTGATTCTATCCCGCCATAAAACACGGGAACATATGTTACATGTCAAGATGAAGAATTCCGTCGGACATACTTTTTGTCGCTGATCAAACAAATTTGTAAAAGTTCTCAACATGTCTACCATAACACATTTTAAAAGGTTCACTGCAGTATTGAATGTTGTAACTCTGATCAAACAACTTTTGTGTTTTCTTCATCGTATTGTTCTCACACACCTCTCTTTGACCTGGTGTCTTATTCCTAGTTTGCAACAGGTGCCTTATTGCATAAGTGAATTATGATGCACTTCATCACATTTTTCTAAAAGGGGTAACTGTGGTTTTTGTTTGACGCTGAAGGTGTACCCACATGTCCATGAAGAGCAAAACTTTAAGAAGACATTGAATGAACGCTCAAGGATGAGCGTATTGCCTGGAGAGTGAACAAATCGTGTAAGCCCGAAGCCATTCTCAAGTTTTGGAACACATGAAGAGGTCACAACATGATCTGACTTCTCATAATTCAACATGAACTGGCAGGACGGCTGATAAACTCAACTATAAGTAAATGTTACGGCTGTGACCCTCCTCTATATTGGCGCGCGAACACATCCTTGTAGCAGACACACTCACCTCACATTTTGAATATCCGTTTAACCAAACCACCATACTTTGGCAAATTGCCATCAAACTTCTCCCAGACTCACCGGTGTAAGCACCCGTGCAGAGCACAATGAAAGCGCTATAAATAACTTCACAAGAAGGCAAGCAGCAAGAACCATCCAACCATATCCACGTTCAACCTGCTCTCTTGTAATTTTCATGATTGTGTTTTTACACATTGAACCAGTTTATGTTGAAACTGTGTGCAACTCACTAATGAAAATGCATCTGCCAATGCCACCATCTACTACAATCGGGTAAAAAACCTATACAAAATGAATATGTTCGGCAATGTTTCATTCATTAAACGAAAAACATATTCACGCGTATGTTGTAGGCTACCACCAGTGTTGTCAGCGTATGCATAGGTCATAATAACCCTGAATGTCGGTGCCACACAAAGTAAATTGTTTGCTTTACATACCATTTGTTGCATTTATTTGTTTGTTTTTTTGTTTAACGCCGCACTCAGCAATATTCCACCTGTATGACGGCGGTCAGTAAATAATCGAGTATGGACCAGACAATCCAGTGATTGACATCATGAGCATCGATCCACGCCATTGGGATCAATGACATGCATCAAGCAAGTCAGCGAGCCTGACAACCCGATCCCGTTAGTTGCCTCTTACGACAAGCACAGTCGCTGTTTACGGCAAGCATGGGTTTGTGAAGACCTGTTGTACCCCTTGTTGCACTTGTAGCTGTGGGCTATCAGCGTGGGTGTTCATGTATGTCCCAGTGTGTGTATCACGCTATACCTAGACCAGTGGTATGAATGTGAAGTGTATTACCATGGACATATTATCCCTCCTATCCTTGACGTTGTGTTGGAGCGACACAACCTGCGATCGTGAACTGCAATGACCCTCTTTTGGTTAATTGTTTGGCCTTATGTACTGCATTCCCGCTGGCATGGCATAATTGTATACGTGAACATGATCAGCCCTTTAAACTAAAGTTCCAGTTTCAGTAACACGTAGATTGAACAGTTTTAGTCCATATTATTGTGTTTACTAAATGCGTCTCTCTCACGCCAATTAAAATACCATTGTTTAGGTGTATCTTTCATAGGGAATATGTATCCACGCTTATGAGGTTTTCGGTTCTTTGAGAAAGAATGCAGTATTGTACGAGGGCTGGCTGAAAGGTTCTAAGCCTACCTGTGAAAGACCCGTACCAAGTCGATGGTTTTCATTTATTTCTCCACATAGTCCTCTTCCAGGTTTACACACTTTTGCCAGCGATGCTGCAAGGCCTGGATGCCGGTGAAGAAGAAATTATCTTCAGCCACTCTAAAAGTCATTCACAGCGGAAATGACGTCATCATTACTGGGAAAATGGCGACCGGCTAGTTCCTTTTTCATTTTGGGAAACAGGTAAAAGTCTGACGGGGCCAAATCGGGTGAATAAAGGGGATGGTCAAAGAGTTCGAAGCCACAATCATGGATCATGGCAACCACCGATTTGTGAACAAGAGCATTGTCTTCCTGGACTCCTTTAGTGAGCATTCGCCGTCGCTTAGCTTTGATAGCTTCACGCAACTGTCTCAGTAGGTCAGCATAATAACTTCCATTGATAGTCTGGCCTTTTTCAAGATAGTCAATCAGCAGAATATCCTTGGAATCCTAAAAGACTGAAGCCATCACCTTTCCAGCTAAAATAGTGGATCGAAATATTAGCACACAGTGAAAGGAGGGAAATTCAAAACCATCAGTGGTAGACCTGCTTGCAAAATGTTGGGGTTGACAAGGAAATCTACAGCATAATTAAACATTTCTAAGCAGATTATCATTGGCGGTCTTGAATTTCCCTCCTTTCACTGTGTGCTAATATTACGATACACATTTTAACCAATCAGAAACGTTTGCTGAGTTCAAGCCCGTGTAGCGCCGTAATTTCCGGCCACCTTTTTCTTGTTTACCTCAGCGGCGCAGCACAGAGCTGACATTTGATGGTTGTTTTAAAATAGATACGAGGTAGGGTGACCACAGATGAACATGATTGTACAGCCTATGGTTTGTTTAGCCGGTGCCAATCGGTTGAAATTAGTGACATTCATATTTCATGTGATATCAAGCTGTGATTCGAACCGACTGCGAAATCTTGAATAAGAACCAAGATGGCGGATGTCACTCCTTGTCTCCATGTACATAGAGGGGTGTGATTATTTTCTATACGAATATATTATGTTATACACGCTATTATCGAATTCCTGTGCTGGACACGGGTCATCGTCAAGGCTCTCTTTGCCAGGCTTGAATTCCGCAGCCCACTTCTTTACAGTGGAAAAGGAAGGGGCATCATCCCCTAAGGTGGAGACCATGTCAGCATGTATCTGTGTTGGAGTTAGCCCTTTCAGTTGCAGGTACTGGATGACTGCCCAATAGCCAGTTTTGTCCATTTCTGGTGATTTCAATGGGTAGGTTCACAAGATGGTCTGGTACGAAGACAATAATAACACTACAGTTGCATTTCTTATGTCTATGATTCATTAACTGATTCTACTTGTTGGTGGCAAAAGTTTGTTTCAATCCGATTGAGATATCCCACTTAGGCTTAGAACTTATCAGCCAGCCCTCGTACAATGTAATGCCAACCACTAATGTTATCAACATGGTAACTTCGAATCTTTTGACTTATGCCACGATTATGTTAAACACAGCTACATCCTCGTTATAACGCTTCTTGCATATCTTCCTTTCGCTGTGGCAATGACGTAAAGTCTTTCTCGATCATTTCGCCTATTGGGGATCTTTTTTCAAAATGTTTGGTCCTCCGCTCCCTACGACAATTTAGATGCAGTTGAACTGTCTTTCAAAAAATAAAAATAACAGATAAACATAATATCTATAATTATATTTGTTTCATGAGTATTAATTGCAAACGTCAACGCCAGAGAATGCTAAATTTGTCACTCAATGTTTAAGTGTTGATCATGAACTTCCTGCCTATAAATATACACTATACCAACTAAATATTAACGATCATATCTTTCCTAATCTTAGATTTAATTATTTTCTGTAAATCAGCATCATAAACAGAACGACAATGCGCACTCTCGGTACCTCTCTAGCGCCGTGCTAAATCGCCATGACACACTCACGCGTCAATTTCTTTTTCAAATTGGCTGTTTGATATTACAATAGTTACGTGAATGTGGCATGGCTGCATAATAAATAATTCGCGGTCATTCGCCTGAAATTCAACAGGGCAATCAGAGGTAAAGAAGAGCGGTAACCGCTTTACTAATCTCACCATATTTCGCAATCTGTAGTACTGTATAAAATATACAGTTACACGATGTTTAAGCTGAGATGATTGGGGTGATGATGGTTACAATTTTGAGTTGCGCACTCAGTGTTTGACATCTTAATTCACAGTTGAAAAGGGATATTTACGGGACAATTAATGGACCCGTGGCACCAAATGCGTATGGCATGTGAGGGTAGTCCCGCGGCACCATGAGAGTTGAAGCAGATTGCCACCTGATAGGGGATTGCCTTTTTCACATTAACAAGTTTTGTACGTCTGTATTTTATTATCATATTTTCAAAGATTTTCATTCCTCTGTGCTCGGCTCCAAAGTAAAATACTAAAATTCAAAACACAGAAGGTTTATCCGTTTGTTATGTGATCAAGAAGAGCGGAATAACAGATGGGCTTAGATCCACGCAAAATATCAACAATAATGTTCCCACGAAAGGTCTATAAGTGTTTGAATCGGGTTAAAATAGCATCATCGACGACAGATGCGCGTGCATATAATCAGTACCTTCGTTTCCGGTTCTGAACCCTTTTTTACAGTGATGCGTTGTGAATGCGCATTGAACATTTATAAAATGTCTTCTGCAATGAGTTCTGGACTGCGGAAGCTTTTCAGCGTTTTCAGTAGAAACAATTCATTTGCGCGTTTAACAAGAACTTTGAAGGTGGGGGACGAACTGTCGTTCAGGGTTATAAATTAGACAATTCGGAAAATTTAAGATAGACGAAGACGCAGCCATTAAAAGTATCCAGACACATGTAAAACGAATATACTTTTGTCTCACTTTGTTGGTACTCGTTGTGGAGTGAATACTACTCAAGAAGCAAGGATACAAGTACAAGTAACAGACAACATAGAGCAAAAGGTTAAAGTAGCAAGTTTTGCTCAGTTGGACAAAGCTTCCAATATTGAGAATGCTTCATACAAGAACTGTATTAATACACCTTAAATAATGCAGCAATTTATTCATGATATTGAATAATGTAATACAGTGATCAGAGGATGCATGATTGATGCCAGTTGTAGCAGTAAGTCAATATATCTAATGTGTTTACATTATAGCATTTTCCACCAGAGTGCTATGCACACAGTTATTATAACTAGTTGTTGTACCAGCACTGTACTGTAGATCATTGGGAGTTATTCCCCTTTAGTTGATTAAACATGGCTATAAAGTTGAACCTCCTAAACAGAAGATCCAGAAGTCAATAAGACCATTACACCATTGGTCAGTCTATACCAGTAGAGTTGCATGAGAGTTGCAAGACGGAGATGGTTGTGAGAGGATAAACCAAGGGGGAGGGGTAATTCCGATTCCCACACATCGTACAAGCAAGTTAAGATCCGACAGAAAAAAACGGTCCTATTCTAAGAAATTAAATATTTTAGCAACGTTTGTTCGATCTGCAATGACATATACATGATATATGTACATTGAAGAGGAGAATTAATAAAGTGACACATATTTTAGTTTTAATATATATTTAATTACTGAGATGACGCTATGGAAACAAATGACAATAGGAAGAGTAAGGAATTGCAACGGACATCATTTTGGTCACTTGAGCATCATATGTGCCACACATCTTCCACAAAACGTGAAAGCTTTACTTTTGTTTGTTTGTTGTTCAACAATTCAATTGTTATATTGAATATTGTATATGTTTTTACTTTTGTATTCATTATCAGCTCTGAAACATGGGATATCACTTATACACTGCATACAAAAGATAACTCTTCCCTTGTCGTGAATGCATGTCATCGTATCCCAACTGCGTGGATCGATGCTCATGATGTCAATCACTGGATTGTCTGGTCCAGACTTGATTATTTACAGATCGCCGTCATATAGCTGGAACATACATAGAGCGGCATTAAATAACAAACCAAACAACCAACCAACCCTTGTCGTGACATTGGCCCTACTTAATATCAGATGAATACTGAACAAGTGTAAGTGCAAAAGCAACAGTTTAAAAATTGAAATCAATAACTGTAAAATAAATATACATATTTGCATATACAACTCTGACATTAGATGTGGTATGACTTGTTGAGATACATACATGTGTACGTGTCACTAATTATGCCAAGGTTAGAAGGGTCCTTGAAAAGGACCATCAAAGGACAACACCTCGAAAAAAGGTTTAAGCTCGAACCTTTTTGGCAAACATGTTTTACACTTTTCTGTGCCCTAAGAAGACGCATGCCTGTAAACTCACTTTTGGAAAGAGTCCATTGTGAAATCACGTTCAATAATCTTGCATCCAAAAGGCATCAGATCTGTCCCGTGACTACACACACACACACACACTCATATATTCCTTTTGCACAGAGGTATGCACATGGCAAAGACGGCACTGGCGAGGTTACAACATCCTGAAAGAAGACAATGATTATGCGTGAACAAAGGTATACATATTACATAGGTCATGATGAACTGTCAATAACCTTTAACTACCAAGGCATGTTCCGGTATGTTTGTTTGTTGATTAACGCCGCACTCAGCAATATTCCAGCTATATGACGACGGTCAAAATAATCGAGTCTGTGATTGACATCATGAGCATCGATCCGCGCAATTAGGATCGATGGCATGCATCAACCAAGTCAGTGAGCCTGACCACCCGATTCCGTCAGTCGCCTCTTGCGTCAAGCATAGTCGCCTTTTATGGCAAGCATGGGTTGCTGAGGACCTATTCTACCCCGGAATCTTCACGGGTCTGTTCCGGTATGATGCCCAAGACACATACTGTACGGAAGCAAATGACTCACATTTCCCTGTGAAGATCATGCAACTATCAGGATTACCAAATGGCACTAGATATTTATTATTATTACTGGTTTAACATAGTAAGCATTAAGTAACACTTTTTCAATGTTGCATATTATCCATATATATATCGACTCAAATCTCTACGTTTACTTTCATTTTCCAAAGAATAGTTCTTTTATCATTTTCAATTACCCGCAAAAATAAACGTGTTGTCATAATCTCCGCTGCTTTCATAAATTAGACCTGAAACAAATATGGTTACCTTTTATCAAAACATTTTGCTGATAACACCTGAATTCAAGTTTACTAAAATTAATAATGCAACATACACATTAATATCGTAATAACATTGCAGCAATATTTATTCAATTGCAATATATTAAATTTTGGCTGAACAGCTCATAAACCAGCAAATATGTTCCATATTTATATGTACAGCTCAATAATGGTTACACGGTTGAAGATGTTTGCCCATTGAGGACAAAGCTGTTCTATTCTAACAATCAAATTAAAAAAAATTGTTCATTCACTCACAAAGTAGTTAAGAGAAAAATGTATTTCAAAATTTACTTACTTGCAATAGGTGGCCCAAACATTAAGCCGATTCCTAAGACAAAAGACCACATTCCATAGGCAACGGCTAGTTTAGATCGGCCTATCAGTTCAATACATATGGGACTCACTAACGTGTACGGTCCTTGACTGTATGTACCATATAATACACAGGCAACCATTTGGAGATGGTACGTATGTGATAGCACAGGGAGTATCATAATTGATATCCCTGACATTCCTTGCAGTCCAACATGAAGTAGGATGTTTCCGATAGATTTGTCAGATGACGCAAAACCAGCAAGCATTCCGGAGAAAAGGGCGGAAACACCCATTCCAGTAAACAGACTAGCTGACTGTGCAGGTGTACTACCTTTATATTCGGCATAATTTGGTAAATGAACCATGCAGGTAGCTTCTGAAAGAGACCAAAATAGAACACTGAGGAGGTAGAGGAAGAATCCATTTGCACCAAACAGAGTTACACTTTCTCGTATTGCCCCGCACCATGAATCTTTCTTTGGTGAACGTGAGTTCTGTTCCAGCAGGGGTGCAACAGTTGTATTTGCTGCTCTAAAATTGTCTTCTTTAGTAATAAAACCAGAGTCAGGACTTCGTACGTCTGTGTCTTCATTATCATCTGTTTGTGAACAGGTATGTCTGTCATCATCGCCCTGAAGGAAAACTGTAACAGTAGTCTCATTTTGTGCACATGGATCATCTGTTTTTGGCACACAATTAAGCTCAGCAGGGTCTTGAGGTGCATCAACACACTCTTCAGTCCCATCTTCACAATCAGGTTGCACCGAAATTGACTTCTCTGGCTTCAGTGTTGACGATGGTCTAATTAGAACTCCAGCTGAGCACACATGAAATCCGATGGCACCCAAAATGAGCAACGTTCCGGATAGGGTGTACAGATCTAATAGAAATATAGTTAAGGGGCCGACTACAAGTAGTCCTAATGCACCTCCAGACATGCAAATACCATATGCTGCGGGTAGTCTTTTATTGAAGTAGTCACCGGGAGCCACGCCACTCACATTAGCTGCCAGACCGCAACCTAAACCTGTGGAAATATATACGTCAAGTACGGATTCTCTGTGAGTGAATAAAAGAGGTAAAACTGCATGCATGTTATCAAACGCTACAAAATATGGTATGGGCTGGAGTTCATCAGATTCCGAACTAAATACACAAAGTACATAACAAACTTACATGTCTCATGACTAACGAAACGTCTTACATACGATCGAAGTTTGTCTGATGCTGTTATAGGCCTGAAGGAACGAAATATAGTTCTTACAAAATACATATACAAGTCATTGATATACGATATTTTTGAATAATGATTCCTCAATACTTCAGCTGATAACTTCATAAAACGTACGAGTATATGTCATTATCTGCTACAATGTATGCCGTGCTCCATGTTTTATTAATATATATATATATGCTGACTTTTGTATTATTTTGAATGTCTTCTGGGTACACTTCATGGAAATATTCACCCGTTATGACGCCGAACGTGAGGATTAATCCGGTGACAGTTCTGCAGAAGGATGCGGATGTAAGTCCCAGAAGTATCAGGATGCCACCAACAAAACTGGCCAATCTGTGTCCCAGTCGGCCTTCGACCATTCCGATGAATGGTCCTGAAAGAAGGTATTTATTGCAGGTGTCTATATTGTAATTTTCGTTTCAACACTAAGTATGTTATCGATTAATACAAGGACGCTTCGTTAACAGAATGACATGTTCATTTCACATTCATACTGCTTTACAGCAAGGCTCTGGTAATGTCAAGCAATGTGTGTTGACAGTTCGAAATGTGTTTTTATCCTTGTCATGTCTACACATATATGCCATCCGGTAAAATACTTGTTACAATGTTCATATCGCTCCATAGTATGCAAACACCGACTGAACTGAACTTCTTTGTTCATAATACTTATTGGTTATTTATACTGTAGTATACGCCATTGTATAGAAGACATTGGCCTGTGTGCAGAACATGGCTCATGTCAATCGATCGCGCACGTGTTACTCCAGACAGTGGTAGACTCTCTGCTGGTCTGATTGTGTGTACGTTGCGCAACTCGATCTGTTGTGTATCGGGTGTCCCTTAACAACACAAGTGAAGTAGACTTTAGCCATGTTCCGACGTAATAATTTCAGAGTTGCTGTCGAACTGGGGCGTCACAACAACATCCCATATAATGAACGTCTCTGCACTTTCTGTTTTTCAAAGGGACATAACCATGTAGAAGATGAATTCCATGCTCTTATGATTTTTTACCAGTATTCTAGAGCAAGAAGAAACACAGTGTAGAACGGTAAATCATTATTAAATCTACCCAGTATGCAAATATATATATATTTCCATTGTATTATGGGCCGGTGGCCTGAAGTACCGAATACATTTGTCTGTATGTTTGTCTGTCTGAAGTACAAGTATCTCTTTCATCAGTATGAAGCAAGGCACCCGCGCATCAAAACCATGTCATTGCTACCGATTCTTGACATCGACAATGCTTGAACATATAATTCCAATGGTTAATTACCATGTAGCCATGTCATGTATGTTCAGAATCACGTAATTGCCATTACCCTTAGGACAGCTGATCCCATTTGTCAAGTACCATTATCATTGTAATACAAATTTACTGTCAGCGAATCCGAACGAGCTGTGCAACGATGTCACTTCTCATTATTTATATGTATTGGTATTGATTATAAATATTTAATCCGTGACCTTGGTTAAATAAGCTTTGGTTCAGAGACGAAAAAGGAAGGGCTCACCCTTTAACAGGCTACGGTTTGGCTAGGCGCTCCGGGGCGGCACCTGCACAACCACTTTTATCATTATGTGGTGACTTGGCGTATGTAGCTTCTTGTTCATATTTACCTGCAAATAATAAATACTGTTTGAACAGCAACTTACTGTTAGCAATTCATACCGAGAACCGTAACCATAATCAACGTTATAAGCGTAAATGGACCCATGCTCCACAGCGCGTTGTTAGATACATAGTTAAATCGTCAAGGATGCCACGTTATATGATATATGGTATAAGTTAAATGCTATATGTTACATGTGATATGTTTACGAACAAGTTATATATTATACGTCACATGTTAGATGTTAAATGATATATGTTACAGTGAGTGAGTGAGTATAGTTTCACGCTGCTTTTAGGAATATTCCAGCATTATCCCGGTGGGGGACACCAGAACTAGGCTTCACACTTTATACACATATGGGGAATCGAACCCGGGTCTTCTTATGACGAGCGAACGCTTTAACCACTAGACTACCCCAACGCCCCGTATATGTTAAAGTGACATGCTATACTTCACATGTTGTGTGTGTTATAGTGCAAAACATTTCAATACTTTTATTTAAAAAAGTGTAAACAATTTCAATACTTTTATTTAAAACTTCATTTATCTAAAGTACCTTTTGCGTGGATCGATGCCCATGATATTGATCACTGGATTGTCTGGTCCAGACTCGGTTATCTACAGACCGCCGTCATATAACTGGAATATTGCTGAGTGCGGCGTTAACCAACCAACCAACCAACCAATATGTTTCAAGTGCACCGAGATACTATTCCCTTTGTCTGTTTGACATATTCAGCAAACATTAGGCGTATCCCCTCTAATCATAACCCCCTTCCGGGAAGGACCCTTAATCTCCAGCGCTCCTTAATGCCCCACGTTAAGTAATACCTCTATCTACAAAGCATGATTGGCATCGTCAGTCAGAGAGACGGGACAAGATCATCGAATCGCCGTCCGATTTCTTGCCTATGTGTAAGTAACAGAGCGGGAACATTGGCCACTCGGTCCCGGTGTGCGGTCTGTCACGTTATTATCAACCTGTTCCTTTCGACCTACTTCAACCCAGCAACAATATACATGGCTGCTGTCGTCTAAAACTTCACCCCTGGGTTTCGTCTTCCGTTATCACTCTGAGCTACCATCTAAGGACAAAGCGTACGCTCTTGGACACATGTTGCATGTTATACATTACATGGTATATGTTACATGGTACACATTATATGTTATACATTACATATTATATACTGAACCGCAAAAGAAACGTCACCCCAAGTAACATTGCAAAAAAGGTGTCATTTAAATAGCTGGGTAATTTTTGTCAAAGTTTCTAATATTTAACATTACCTTGTCCGAAAAAGCAGATGACAATAAAACCGATCGCCCAAACGTATCACGGCAACGGCCATGGTATCCCGATGCACGTGAGTTCCGTGCAAATTGAAATGCACATCCGTTCCCCCATTTCTTGCCCCTTAAAAATCCACCCAGATCGGATAGCATTCATTCGTTAATGAATTGCTACCAAATGCCAAGATTAATAAGAAATCAGCGACACCAAGCCCTTGGACGATTGCAAGCTGGACAAACCGCCCGACAAGTAGCCAATGCATTTCAAGTCCACGTAAGGACCATATACAGGCTCCAGCAACGGTACCGAGCACCAACACTACGGATGACCGACCACGTAGTGGAAGACCAAGGGTCACCACCCGACGTCAGGATCGTCAGATTGTGCGACAGCATCTTCACAATCGCTTTGTTACTGCTGCAGAAACTGCTCGACAGATCATTGGGACACACCAGCAACACATTAGTGCGGACACCGTGCGTCGACGATTGACGAGCAGGCACCTCTAATGTCACAGGCTACAACGAGGAACTATTCTGACACCACGCCATCGCCGGGTGGGCAACACGGCACCAGCATTGGCGGCACCAGCAGTGGAGAAGAGTCCTCTTCTCAGACGAGAGCCGTCACTGTATCTCAACAGCAGATGGCAGAGAGAGAGAGAGAGAGAGACGCCGTGGGGAACGTTATTCGGATGCTTGTGTTGTTGAGAGAGACTCGTGGGGTGGTCCGAGCATCATGGTGTGGGGTGGAATTGGTCTTGCACAGAGGGTCGGCCCTGTGGTCTTCCAGAACATCGGTCCAGGGAGAGGCAATGGTGTCACAGCCACTCGGTACATTGGTCAAGTCTTGAGACCACACGCCATACCTCATTTGGCACGTCGCCGCAACCACGAGTTTCAGCATGATAACGCCCGTGCCCACACTGCGAGAGCAAAAAGAGCCTTCCTCCAGCAGAATGGCATCAGAACCATGCAGTGGCCTGCCCTTAGTCCCGATTTAAATCCCATTGAGCACCTGTGGGACGAGATTCAAAGACGGCTGAATGATGTCCGACCAAGGCCGACAACTGCAGCTGAACTGTGTCAGGCGTTCCTCAGAATGTGGGCTCAAGTGCCTATGGCTTTCATCAACCGATTCATCCATTCCATGTTTCGACGTTGCACGGCAGTCATCAATGCACATGGCGAACACACGAGATACTGACGTGTGATGCCATTTTCTCAGAGACTAGTGTTGTGTTTCACTTTAAGAACATTTGAAACTTTCAACCTTGATGATCAGTTTGGCCAAGTTTCATCTTTTTAATATGTCTCAAAGTATGTTTCCAGGACAAATACGATCTATCCATAGTGACGTGTCTTTTGCGGTTCAGAATATGTTCATCGTTACACGCGATGTTACACGTTATAGGTTATATGTTATAAGTCACATGTTATGTCATACATTCCATGTTATAAGTTATACATGTTATGTTATACATGTCATGTTATACAAGCACTTACCAGAAACATGTTTAGAAACCCTTCTATTTATATTGACGACATTTGGACATCTGGGAACTTTCTGTCTTCATGGCGTGATGCCATAGTTGTTCCTATACCAAAACCTGGACGAAATCATACTGATCCCACAAGTTATAGGCCTGTTTCATTGACCAGCTGCGTTTGCAAAACCATGGGACGCATGGTCAACAATAGATTAACATGTTACTTGGAATCTTATAAATTAATTACTAATATTCAGTGTAGATTTCGGAAAAATCGAAGTACTGTTGATCATTTTGTTAGAATGGAGTCATTCGTTAAGAATGGCATTATTAACAAGCAGCATGCAGTGTCTATCTTTTTCGATTTAGAAAAAGCATACGACACATTACAATTACAATTATGTCTAAATAAAATTCAAATTTAGTCGCGAGAAAATGGCTTTAAATTTTCTAAAGCCAAGACCAATTGTATACATTTTTGTCGAGAACATAGGCCATATGAACTATATTTGGATGGCACGCCTATCAAGATTGTAAAGGAAACCAAGTTCCTAGGTCATATTTTTGATAGCCATTTGACATTTAAACCCCATATAAACTACCTCAAAGCAAAATGTCTGAAGGCGCTCGACTTATTAAAAGTCGTTTCAAATTCAAAGTGGGGAGGTGATCAGAAGACCCTCCTCCAACTACATAGGGCTCTCATCCATTCAAAACTCGATTATGGAGGAGCATGCAAAAGTAATCTTAAAATTCTTGATTCTTTTCACCATCAAAGATTAAACTTTGCCTGGGATCCTTTAGAACAACTCCAATGAATAGTCTATATGTAGAGGCTGACGAGCCATCGCTTAAACTCCGACGTATAAAATTATCTTTACAGTATATCACTAAATTATCTTCAAATCGATCTGATCCTGCATACGACTGCGTTTTCAGCCCCTCTATGGGGAATTTTACCAAAAGAAATCCTCTCTTATTCCCCCTCTTGGAATAAGAAAATAAAACAGCCATTTCTTCTGCAACTATAAACCTTGATAATATTTCTCCTTATCGTCTTTTGGCTTCGCCTCCTTGGCAACTGATAAAGCCAGAGGTAGACGTGACATTAAGACAACTGAAGAAAACATAAACTAATCCACTCATTTATCAACAAGAATACAACCAACAGCGAAATAAATATGACACGTACAAATATATGTTTACTGATGTATCCAAGGATGGTGTTGATATCAATAAATTACATGAAATTAAACCAAATATCGGTTACACCTACTTGGGTTGTCAGTCCAGATTTAATGATGCGACGATGTCGTATTGGCCATAGCAGGTATACAAATGATTATTTACTGAAAGGTGAGGATCCTCCATTTTGTATCCCTTGTGATGAGAGAATCACGGTCAAGCATGTCCTGCTTGACTGTGTTGATTTTGCCATCACAAGGGATAAATATTTCAAATCTTCATATGTCAAGAATCGTTTTAATAATATTAGTTCTCATTTAATCATTGTTTTTTTAAAAGGAATAGAATTGTTTGAAACATTTGGATTAATTTATTTTGCAAAATAACTAAATGTTGTTTTAAATTTGGTAGATTAAATTAGCAACTGTGATTGTCAGTGTCTGTATCCTCGAAGGGGGTTAAAGTACTGTAAAACTATTGTCCCACAGAAAGGGTACGTAAGTTCCACATAATTCAAAGTAAATGTAGGCCTACCACGATTTTAATCGTAGTATATTTGTTAGTTTTTATTGATGGCTAAACTTGCATACAATAGCCAGCGGCTGTAGGGGTGGTGTTAATCCTGCTGGGGTCCATGTAGGTAGCTTAGGTACGGTAAGTCACCTTGGTCTCTAGTTTAGTGATCTACCTTCAGCTGCTGGCGATCTATAGCCCCTTTTCACAATGTATTGTTCTGTTTAGTGATAGCTTTTGATGGCCACATACCAGTTTTAAAAATAGATATCTGTGATAAGTCTAGTAATTTTACTGTCCTTTGCTGACAGGTTCTTACATAGTCTAAATTGGTGTTTACTTAATGTATAAATTGCTTTAGCCGAGATATGGCTGAAATATTGCCGATGTGACCATGATATTGACTCACTCACTCACTCACTCACTCAATCACTCAGAAGTAAATGTAGGATTGTGGAACGACATACATGTACTTCCTACCTAGTATCGTCACGATATGGCTGAAATATTGCCGATGTGACGTTAAGCTTTAACTCACTCACTCACTCACTCACTCCTACCCAGTCATAACATTGCAGTAATTTAACTTTCAACACATTATATATGTCCCCAAATTGACATATATGGTAGGACGGGATATACCAATATCTTCCAAATGTTGCGTTTGCTATGACATCACATTGATACCTGATGCATCTGTTCATTGACCTCGGTGTATAATTGTGGGCCAACACATACAATATCAACGTTGAATCGTTAAGATAAAAAATCAACTCACCACACATTGTAAATGTCCCCAACAGAGTTGATCCTATCCAGGACACTTTGACCAAATCACCGTCAATCTCCTCCAGAATCGCCGGTGTAATCACCCCAACAGAGCAGATCAAAGCGCCATAGAGAACCTCAATGGCAAAGCAGGCAGCAAGAACCACCCAGGCATATCCACGATCAACGTCTTCTTTTGGTGTTTTCATTGTCTCGTTTCTAAAAAGTAAAGAATTATTCCAGGAACATTACGGTTGTCCCTCGAGCTCTGTGGTTTGTTTGTTTGTTTGTTTGTTTGTTTCATGCAACACTTCTTATTATTACATCTATATCACATGATATAAACGAGTCCGATTTACACAAGCCGAGACAATGGTCTCAGAACCTAATCACCCTTGACAATATAATCACCACTTTCCTATTCTGATAGGGGTCTAAACATAAGTAGTTTATGTGTGTCAATACTACAAACGGTAAGTGAGAGAGTCAATGTTGTTTGTTAATTATTATTATGCAAGAATACAGGACATGCACATGACTATATTGTTTGGGTCTGTTTGTTGTGTAACGCCGCACACAGCAATATTCCAGCTATGTGACGGCGGTCTTTTGTTAATCAAGTCTGGACCTGACAATCAAGTGATTGATATCATGAGCATCGATGTACGTAATTGGGATACGATGACATGCATCAACCAAGTAGGCAAGCCTGACCACACGATTCCGTTAGTTGGGACTGCCTAAAAGTCGGGCCGTGCCGGGCCAAGACGGGCAAAAGTTTTATTGGCTAATTACCCCATTATCGGCGATCGTATCTACATATTATTGATGCAACACACACATGACATTAATGAACAATCACAAACCAAAAGCGTGCACCATCATTAAGTGATTCGGAGTAATTGAAATTTAAAACGTATCAAATACTTCCAGCTGCCTTAATACAAATTTCAATCTGTCGGCATAGCGTTTACATTTATAGGATAGTACTATATCTAAGTAAATACCACTTTATAATTCATCACTGTTCATCGTGTTTAAAGCAGACACGTTGGTTAAAGTAGACCCCGTCTCCTCATACTCTCAACAGACTCACAAGTGTTGGGTCCAACTTGGCCCGGGCTATCAAAATCAACTTTAAACACACAGATGTATCAACAAATGTGTTTACATCTATCGAGTAGTATTTTATCTACCTATATACCACATTATAGTGTCACAGATCGCGGTATTAAAAGAAAACAAGGTGCTCAAAGTGAAGCCCTTATCCCTCTTCATACTCGACATAGCCTCTATCAGAAGTGTTTGGCTTGCGTTCGTTCCGATTTGGCCTGGGCTGTCAAAATCAACTTTAAACACACAGATGTTTCATCAAAAGTATTTATATCTATACAAAGTGAAGCCACTCCACGTCCACTCTTAACTCTCAAAGTAATAGTTGTTTCGCCTTCACCATAACCGTATACTTCTAAATGTGATTGAACAAACCCCAAACAAACTTACATGTTTAGAGGCTTCCCAATCTTAAATCCTCGGTAGAAAACGAATACTTTAATGTATAAATGGTCATAAAGGGTCAGTTGAATAGTAGACGTCACACATCGTTCGATCATTGTAATGGTCAGTTTACAGACCCGGCATATTGACATTTGTCAGTAGCTGGTGGTCAGTTACTGACCAGACCACACCACACCACATGTGTCTGTGTCTATGAAAACTAATTATTGTTTTTTAGATCACTGACCCCCTCGTATGAAATTAGTCGTTGTTAATTGAAAGAAACGAGGGAAAGGCTTATTCCAAGTAAGTAGATACTGGCAGCTGCAGGTTGCGTTGAGGCAAAACATAAAAGTTGTTGGCTTCTAATTGTTACACTGTTAGTACAATGTATTTACTACATGCCATTCCACTTCCTGTGTTACAAAAAAACACAACCCCCTTTACCCAACCAGCATTTATTAGTTATTACTTTATTTATAATCCCAAATTAAGTGAGTAAATGCATTTGACTTCCCCATTCACGAGATTAATATAAGCTTGTACACCTTGTTTGATCTCGTCGTAGTGTACGTTTTGTAGCTATTCCAACAACAGGTAAAGTGTGTTGAAGTTTTGGCATGTTTATATGGTGCCATAAGCTATGATCTTAAGTCAAACGTGTTTTGAATTTCTAAAAAATGTTTAAAAAAATCTTTCAGGGGTCACATGTATATATATTGTAATGTGAATTTTAAACATGTGTTTTAACTTTCGCAATTATGTTTTGACATTTTACGCAATATTTATTCAAACATCAGCTGCAGACCCTTGTCTGACGGAAACACGGTTTCTTTACCGAACGCAAATTATAATATCAGAAGGTAACTAAAATGGAATTATGAATTTACCTGTAAAGGTTGAGAATGCATTTACACAAATGATTCACATGTACTCATAGAACAAACGCATACTGTTTACAATTGAGAATTATTCATAACGTACCACTGGTTAAGACATGTTAATATCATATTTCAATGTTGAGGATCGCCTCCGTGGTCTAGTGGTAGAGCGTCCGCCCGGCGAGCGGAAGGTCCGGTGTTCGATCCCCGACCGCGTCATTCCAAAATACGTTAAAAGATGGTACTTTTTTTTACCCTGTCTGGCGCTCGGCAATAAGGGGCTAAAACAAGGACTGGTTGGCCCGGAGTCCGTATACTGTGTCTGAGTGGGGTATTCATGTTAAACTGCGGCATGGTATCTCAGTGAGCTAGCACTATGAATCGGCATCAGTCCGGACTAGTACAAGCAGGTCTTTTTATAAGTGCAATAATCTTGGACGCGACGTAAAACCCTATTTCACCCCACCTCACCTTCAATGTTGAACATTAGATCAATCGTAGAACTGTTACTCAAATAGCACAAGTACTTGAGTTGATACCATTAATGTTCAAGCATCGTCTTACAATACGCTAATTTTAATGTTCGATTACACTGAATTTAAATGGAGAAACGTTTTAGCTGAACTACAAGTCTTGTGTCTCATCGTCCGAAAATGCAAGTGTGGAATTAATCCAAATTACACCTGTACTCAGCTTGCTTAATTGCCCCTTGTGTACTTGCAATAAAGTAGGTGTTGCGTAATCAATCAACCATTTGCCCTTAATTAGCTGTCCCAAGCTTTTAGTTGTAGTTTATAGCATACAGTTTCATTGATAACTTACGCATTTGTTGAGGCTGATGAACAAAGATGATAAAACCTGCACAACCTACTTCAGTTTCTGTACTGTACTTGTTTTTTTCTACGAGCAGTACCTCCTTTTGCATCCTGCATACCTTTCTACCTGTCGGATCGACAGCCCGGGTCTATAAAATAAACATCCTAAACATCACGAACGTAAATGTTGTTGCATATAGTGTTTAAGAGGTCGCCTTCTGCCTATGCAATTTCGGCTGACCTGTCCGTCTTTGGGACTCCTGTGCGTGAGTAGGGTACACATATCTATGGTGAGTTTGGTATTCACATAATTTCTGTTTTTGTATTGATATGGTTTCTATTTTCTAATATTGATATAATTTCATTTTTATCCTTGGCTGCTCTGTTCATTTTCGTTCGAGTAGCTGTCCATCTCAAATGTATGAGTAAATGTACGAATGTAAAATAAAGTTGCTATATATACTCAACTACAAAGTTCCTGTGACACCACTATTTTAGCGTATTTTTCAAACAAGAAAAGTTTGGTTTTTCAATATTGAAGAAGATGTATGGGATCAAGTCACAAAAACGCAACCGCTACAGAAAAGCATGTATTCCATGCAAAAAGTGACTTTTATGCAAGCCCCATGCATTTCACTACCCAAGAATGGGTATAAAAACATGTGCGTTAATGGAATTCCATATGCATTGTTTTGCATCGTGCTGACAAAACCACTCAGAAAAACAACAAAATTACGCAATTATTCAACATTACGAAATGTCACGCCTGTCTGAAAATGAGCGTCTACGAGCCATTTGTATGGTTGAAGCAGGATCGAGTCAACGTGATGTTGCAAGACAATTTAACGTACACAGAAACACCATTTGGTGTTTATGGCAACGTTGGCAACAGACGAATGCAATCAGAGACCATACTTGGAGTGGCAGTCCACGCGTAACCAATAATCGACAAGACAACTGGATTCGAACAACACACCTACGAAATCGATTCCAGCCAGCAACAGTGACTGCAAGTACTTCCCTGGCCTTCGACGAATACCTTCACAAACCGTACGTCGTCGCCTCAGATGTGCAGGGATTGTCGCCAGAAGACCCACCAGACGTCCCATTTTGACAGGAAACCACCGTCAAGCAGGTCTACAGTGGTGCAGACACGCAGTGGGGACAAGTTCTATTCACTGACGAGTTTCGTTTTCACCTCAGTCACAGCGATGGACGGATTCGAGTGTACCGACGTCGAGGTGAACGTTACGTCAATCATTGTGTCATATAAGAAGATCGGTTCGGGGGCGGCAGAGTTATGGTATGGGGTGGGATTACAGCAAGACAGAAGACCCGTTTGATAGTGGTAGAGGGAAATCTCAATGGACAGCGCTACCACGACGAGATCATCGGCCCTGTTGTTCTACCGCTTTTGCGTCGTCATGTCCCAGGCATCACCTTTCAACATGACAACACCCGGCCTCATATTGCTCGACTTGTTCAAGATTCTCTTCAACAAAACAACGTGAATCTCACCCCCTGGCCGGCTCGCTCCCCTGATCTCTCAACAATCAAGCACATGTGGGATGAGATGGATCGGCGCCTTCGACGTCAACCACGTGTTCCAGAGACACTCCAGGAACTTCGAAACATGCTCCAGCAGATATGGACAGATATCCCACAGGACTTTGTGCGACGCCTGGTCCATTCCATGAGACGAAATAGTGTTGCTTGCATCGCAACCAGAGGTGGACACACACGCTATTGATTTGTAAATTTTGGCATGTTCATGTTTTTTTTTATGAAATCACGCATTTTCTGAAGTCAGTATGGCAAATTAAACCATTTGAACACTTACAGGAGTCTTTTATCTGTTGCAAACCAAAATTGTTTCAGATTTGTTAAAAAACATAACTTAGCGTTAAATCTTATTCAATGTCAAAGGATCGTTTGTTGTTCAGTATATATAGATGTAGCAAATGGCTAGCTGCCTTGTCAGCTTACAATTTTGATGTCAAATACCGACCTGGAAAATCGAATATTG